TTACTGATTTTCTTGTTTATAGTTATCTTTGCTCATACAACAGACTACTCGATCCTCTACTACAGATGAACAAAAAGGTCACAGTACGATTATATTGGTAAAGATTTAAAGAACAACCAATAGTAACTTAAATTTGTATTCTTTAATAAATTACTACAAGACAATACATTCGATAAAACTGTTCAGTTTAAAGTATGTCTTACAGCGTGGAATGATATTAGTCAAATATGCACTCAAAAGCAAAACGATTTGATTAGCTATTTTGCCATAGTTCAAGACTACTCAGTAGTGTCCACCCATTATTTTATGTAGAATTGAACCTAGATTCTTCAAGGTACAGTGAAATACGCATGTTCTTTACTCTCAAAGTCGAAATCCAGTAGATAGTCAATTGGTGATTTCGTTAGACCACCGTCTAATCATACTTACTTCACCCTTAATATGGTCGAATTCCACTGGCTATGTCCAACTCAGTGGATCTATGCCAATCTTGAAATTTAATTAACAGTTAGCCAGTATAATCATTAAGATTGGAGAACTAATGAAAAATATTATTAATTGTATGCCGTTAAAACTTTATTTGGATATGAATCGAGATTTTTTCTGTTAAATACCCAGGATTTAACGTTAGAACACTGACAACCATTGAAAAATAACACACTGTTTAAGAAAACATGATGATCTTCAGTTTTATCCTGTGCAGAACCATGAAAGCACAGTGCGGAGGAGTTTCAAGCCTAAATAAATTAGCTATCCAGTTCTTCTTGTTTTTAAATGTTTCTCTAGTTAATGTTACTCCATAATAAAATTTACCTTTAACATGAATAATCAATACAGTCTCCTTATCTTAATAAGTAAATATTGTATTTGTTTAGTCAGAATAAACATATGAATAGAGATAAATGAAAAAGAGATTAATCATTTTGCATTGTTTGTTTTTATATTACTGAAATTAATAACAACAATATTGGCAATAATAATCATCATTTATTCAGTAAATAAACCGGTTCTTTTACGATTGAATAATTCAAGAATTACATATACTGGATGATCATTGGTTTGGAACATACAGCTACTAGTCATTTCAGACTGTTTTAACATAAATATCGAATTTAAAACTACCCATATACAGTTTAATTTGAATTCTAATCAGAAACATTGATAATATAGTATGAAAGTTAAAGTTTCAATCGTTTCGTCATAGATTCAGGGACTACTATAATTACTTTAATTTATTCAGCATAACAACATAATTAGTCGTCACATTGAGTACAAGAATCTGTTATTCATGCCAACGTGTATGAACCAATTAACACTATGATTAGTTTTATAAATAATAGCAGCTCACGTGCAATTGAGTATGTTCACATTTAATATGGTTAAGCTCTTTTGTTAACTTATTTAACGGACCGAGTCATTTGTACAATGACAACTTATCTATATCATTGTAGCTTTATTATTGTTGCATTTGTATAAATATGTATGCTTGAGCATTACTTACTGCCTACGCATATCATTCATTCTTTCAGTCTTACTATTAGTCGCTTAATTGATACGATGATTCACTCATTTTACTATGTTCATTTACTCTCCGACTCGTTCATCTGACTCGCTTGCTCACTTGCTTTTCTGCTTGCTTTTTGGCACTACTACTACTGCTTGCATAAATTACCTGTAATTTTGGTTATCTGTGAGTGGTGCAATAATAAATTTAATGCACCGTTGGGACATTATCTAGTACCGGTTATCAGGACGCACTGTTTACGAAGTTTAAGAATTCTATGGAATATCGACCACTACAAGATATTCAATTGAAAACGCAATGAAATATGAGTATTTCTTTGTTAGTGAATCTTAAACAAACATTGTCTAGGTGTGAACACAGTCAGTTATGGGTATGAATATGGTCATTTCTTAGTGTTTTTTTTTCAATCACAGATTGACATCATCTGGGTAGCACATGAAAACCCAAGACTCCTAGGCGTTTGTTAAGTCTTAGTTTCAGATTACTTAACAATGACTATCCACAATTCCAAGTGGGATCCAAGTCATGCATGTAAAAGTTTACACAAAGCAAAATATCTTTAAACTATTGAGTTGAAATTAAGTAGTCTATATTTTCTAGACTATGATATTTTTTGATTACTATTGAATAGTGACTAATTTCACCTCTTGGAAATTTTTAATTCCAAATCGAATCATCTCCATAAATCCTATATTCATTGGAGAAGCTGTAGTTAAATTTACCGGCATAATTCGATTTCAGTGTTTTCAAATGATAAGAAATTCCTGTTAAAATTCATAAAATTTAAAAGGTAAAGAAAGAAAGCGAAAAAATAGTAGAATATGCTTCTTTAATTTGAAACAAACTTAACCTGAAGATATCATCAGTTATAAAGGTTTATATTCATTATCTTATCGATATTTAAAAATGAACTGGATCAGTTTCCATTACCAAACTTGCTTCTTGAACATGTACTTTCATACTACTCATAATTTAGAACTTGGACATATTCTTTATCAGTATCTAGCATTGTGAATTAGGATTCCCATTTATGCTGTATTCTGAACATTTAAAGAAATGAATACATAGTATATCAACTCTGGTATTCCGAGAATATGACATTTATTAGTGTTAAATAAGACAAAACATGCATCATGGATTCCACGACTAACCACTGTATTAAAATCCTTAAGAAAATTCACAAATATACATGCTTTTTATACAGTTAGTATTAAAACTCTGAATAAAAGGATAGCACTGATTTGTAACGAAAAATAGACAGGTAGTTATTCCGGCGAGGTTATAATTTATGGACCAACTAATTAAATTAAGGATAGCAAATCTTGGATTTGTGCCTTAAATTCATTAATCCATATAGTTAAATAACATTTTTGGGATTAAAGCTGATGTCAGTTCATAATGAAAATCCTTACATTAATTAATAACCATAAATTCTAATTGTAATTCTTCTTAATAATTTATAACCCTCTTTCGACCCTGGTAATTAAGTGAGTCATCCCATAGTCACTTTAGTGTCTCTTAAATGTTGTTCATAAGGAAAGCCTCAACGTTATTCTTTAAACAGACTATTAGTTATCGTTTCTTGGGTAAACTATTTACATAAAAAAATTAAATGTCAGAAGGTTAAACTAATTCTATGATAAATTTATAGTTTTAATAACACTTTTATCGTAGAACTAAGAATAATGGTGAATCACTTGAACAGAATAGAGAAGAAGAAATATTTGTTACATTGTAAATTTTGGACTCATCAATAGACTAAACTCAGTATCCTTTTTCTTGTTCATTGTCTTTCACTTCAGATAATTTATGATCAAGCATGATTATTATTCATTATAGTTACTAAGCATCTATTCTAATATACAGCCCCTAAATGCCCTGGTACGGCCGAGAGTGGGGTGAGTCCGCTCTCCCTCTCCAAATGCTCTTACATGGCCACGCGTATATAGCCTCTGCCAGGGAAGTCCTACTCACTGCCTTCTCGTGGCGGGGGTGTTGTTTACGAAAATGAGAGGACGAAAAGCGAATGCCCGACGCTATAACCGGATCCCAAACCAATGGTGCACATGGGCTCCAGTATCCTGAAGGAACAAATGGCGTATGAACCAATCGTTGGTCACCGGCTACCATGGGACTGCATCTCCTTACGATGCTCCACTGCCTTGTGGATCAGATCTTCAGGTCGAAGGCTCGGGATGTGGTCCCCTAAGCAAAGCACCTGCTTCGGTCTGGGCATTCGGGCAGTATCACAGCCCTCGCATATATATTTGGTGTCCCCTTGTACCAATAATAATAACTTGACAGAATATTTTTTTGTCAGTAAATCATGACTATATCTTCTTTAAGTATCTCATAAGTCCAGCAACACTGTAACAACTTTTATTTTAAATTAAGAACTTTGTTCTAAAGTATTCTGTCAATGAAATCAACATGACGTAATCACTATATTTCACACATATCTTATTAAAATAACCATATTTTACTTTCATTGATTCTCACTTCCTATCATTTTTCAATACATAATTCACAATACATAAATGTTGAACATGGAACCTAATTCTCAACTTCTAATTACCCTACTCGATTCAACTATTTTCCATGGTGAGACTATAATTTATGGACGACCTATGAGCGACGATAAAGTGACCTTGAGAGTCTCCACCTAAAAACTAGGACTAAATTAGTGTTATAAACTAGTGTGAGGAATTAGAATTATAGCGTATAGTTGTTGGATAATGTTAGAAATCAGATTTAGGGTTTTCATCACGAACTGACATCAGTTATAATGTCAAAACTTTATTTAACCAAATGAGTGAATGAATTTTGCGCCAAAATCTAAGACCTGTTATGGTAAATCTGATTGGTTCGTCCATAAATTATAGTCTCAGCGTTTCCATATTAGAATGGAAAAAAACAAATAAAAAAATTCATTTTAAACATTTGATCAGTGTTATTGTTTTATTAAATCTGTTCAATTGTTCAATATTACATAAACTTAAACTTGATAATTAACATTTGAATAACAAAAACAATAATTTTCACAGTATATATTCATTATGATAATTAAATAGATAAAATCAAGATTGAAAGTGTACACTTACATAAGAATATATGCACATACACACATATATTCATACATACATACATACATACACAGACACACATACATACGCAAAGATACACAGAATCAAGACATTTAACATGAGCACTTCAGCAACAACAAAAAAACAACAACCAACTATTTCTCGCTTTAACAAACTTTAAAAAGTAAACAATTCACAGAAAAAAATTGTTTTTTATATTGTATGAGACGAAAAACAATACACCAATAGAAAGAGGAAAATAGATCTGAAACTGATAAATGACATTTTGTTGTTTTCTTTCTCAAAAAATGAGGAATAAATAAACAAATAAACATTCTGTAAAATCAAATATACATTTTACGTAATAACAATAATAATAATAATAAAATGTGTAAATAAATATGGAAAAAATAAATTTTCTTCTTTTTTTTTTTAGAAAAAACATTAGAAGGATGTAAAGGTATTAATTATTTAAATGAACCAATTTATTCATCTTAATTGTTGTTAATACATTTCTCATTTTGAACAAATAAACAACAATAAATAAACAAATATTATTTTAAAAAATAAACAAAAACAAATCAATGAAGAATAAAGAAGAAATATTGATATAGTTTGTATATCACTTTATTTATGTCAGTATAATATATTGTATGTTATTAAAACAATAAACAGTGATGATTATTTTTAAAGGTGAAAAATGATTCATTTAAAACAAAACCGAAGAAGCAAGTGTAATAATTATTCATTTGAAAAAAAACCCCAGCAAATAACAAGAACAACAACAACAACAACAACAGCAGAAACAATAAGAGAAGTATAACAGAATTAATAGGTTATGATCAAGTGTACAATATGTGATAGACAATTATTGAACATATGACATTTGAATTATTGAATTCGAGATAACTGATCACCCTCCCCCTCCACATACACAGATACACACACACGTACATACACAAACACAAATATGTAAACATAAAGAAAATATTTTTTAAAATTTACACATAAGAAACTTACACCAACACAATAAACATACATGTTAAATAGATTGATCAATATGATTTTATTTATTTATTTATTTTGTTTTATTTATTTATACAATAAACATAAAATAAAATGAATGAAAATTTTTTTCAAAATGAAAGACAAACAAAAACAAAAACGATTTCAAATCCAAAGTGTTAATTCATTGTTCATAATTTGCTTCAATAATAATCATAATAATAATAGAAATGTTTATTTATTTAAATTACACATCATTTACACAGAATTAAAGTGTAAACTAATAACAATAAAGGAAAAAAAAAGAGGCAAATTTTTTTTAAAATGAAATAAATAAAAATAATAAATACTATGATAAGGAAATAAAATTTAATCACAAACACCTGGTGTTGTAAATTGATTACCATTTTCAGTTCTATTCGATAATTGAAACCATGCTTCAATACGACGATATGGTGGTCGAAATACAGCTAACCATAATTCACGTCTTTCAGCTTTAGCACCAGCACCTAATGTTAAACCACCAATAAAATCATTACTTGGACCATGATCAAAATCCCATACTGTTATTTCAAGTGTTCGACTACCAGCTTCAGAAGCATTTAAATCATAGAAAAATGTCTAAATTTCAATGATAAATAAAAGAATTTTTTTAAAAAAAAATCGTTAAAATTACATAGATTATTTTTATAGATGCTATGAAAAAATCAGTCAACTTTTCAAGATTCAAGTCCTATTGACAAAAAGAGCTAATGGGTTAATAAGAAAGAATTTAAACAAGAAAAGTATCTGGACGGGACAGTAAACTCATTTCTTTATCGTCGTAACCCGGTTGAACAAAGGAAATCTGATCAAAACTCTTGGTTATCAAATGCGTACTATATGTTCTACTGATATAGTTGAAGAAGAGCTAAACGCCTTGAGTAATACGCTAAGGAAAAACTGATATCCCGGAAAGTTTATAAGTATATATAGTTTATTCATAAAGAAATAAAATAAACTACAAAATCTAGCATCTTAATCAGTAATATGATAAAAGTGTAGTTTAACATTTCTAATAAAAATTACTAATTCTTTCTTTGTTAACTATATACCAAATTTTCATCAACTGATTAATGAAATGTTTAATTACGTAGGTCATAGAAGGAAAAAATATATAACGATATTGGTCAGTAGATAATCAGGGAGAGAAAAAGAAGTGGAAGTAATAATTTAATTGACAATTTGTACTAAGTTACAATTTCTCTAACTCTTCCTGCTTTAAATGTTTTGTTACAGATGAGAAAGTGAGTGATAGAATAAAAGTGAACTTAGACGTTATCATACACTCTCTTCGATAAATAATAAATGTATGAAACCTTTACAAACAATCCAACTAAAGATACTAATGACAGATTGTTAGTTGAATATTCTAAAGCAATTCATTGAAAAGTCATGAATTGTAAATTCAAAGATTTTAGTGACATCATAGTTATATGCTGACTGATTATTGATTAGTAATTAATATAGTTTTGAGTCCTTAGTCGCGATCGAGTTCCTTCTGAATGATTTAACATCACAAGCAATCTGTTTGGATGTAAAATCGTCGTATGTTCGTTGACAGGATACTTTCGATTTTGTACTATTTGACACACAGAAGAAAGAAATAATTATTCCTGAGATAAATGATATTCAGTTTTATGGTAAAAAAATAGTGCCTCTGATCTATTCAAGCCGTAAGATGAAGTCCTGTTAAGGTGACATATTCACATTGAATTATGCAGATTCCCATCTGACGTACAGCATCGTTCCCATCAATATTTCAAATATACCTCATTGATGAGTACCAAACTTCACAAAATATGAATTTATATCCTACTACTGACATCTGTAAACAATCTTTTATTCACATAGTTTCTTCAGTCGACTCTACTCTTCACTGCTTCCTGGTTTTCTGTAGTTTATCAACTGATATTTACTGGTTCATGATCACATTTGTCAATTTCTCCTAATTTTTATTGTTTATAGATATCCTTTTTCTTTTCAATATTTCGTTATAAATAAATAGATTGAAAAGAAGAAAATAATAAGATTAAGTGAAAATTAATCCTTATTGTGTTTTTAGGTTAAATCGTTGACATGGTAACATGCGATGATAGATAAAGGTATAACTTATTACAGTATATAAATTATAAGGATAATTTTAAAATTATATGTATGTATATACATATTCAAAGGCCCTAAACTAGGACTTTAGTATCAGAGAATTAAGCAATTAGTTCCTTTTAAAAACCTAGATAGAGCAATGAGAAGACATAGTTGATCTGAAAAATGTGATGTATTTACGCTATACATTTCGAACCATCCAATCAAGGGTTATGGAAAATGTGCTTAGATGGCATCAAAACCAATTAATGTAGAAACTCATGTTCATCGATAGCGAAACATAGAATTGACATCAATACAGCGTTTAAAACGTTGTATAGGAATTTTTAAGGACCGATTCTCATATTTAGAGAAGCTTTGGCTACTCGTAAATTTATACCCCCCACATGTATACAAAAACAAGTTGTCATAACCTTGAATTTACCCTGATAATTCTTAAGCCATTTTATGATCTAGAGTGATATGACAATTGCCTATTCTTTCAATACGATGTTGATCTTTTTTCTCCTTTATTTCTCTGTTTACTTGAATTTTCATTGAATTGATTTTGACTAATTTTCATATAAAATACCATAGCAAGTATATGTCTGGCCAGATTGTTCAACATGTATAGCACAAATACATCAAATATTTCAGATCAATGCAATCTTCTCATTGCTCTACCGAAACATGAAAATTAATGAATAACAAAAAGTTCATTTTACTGTAAGATATTTTGATATTGCTGTAAAGATATAATTGACTCTCAACTCTATAATTTTGATTCCAACCAGAATTATCGATTTAGACAAGATTAATATCAGAAGGGGTATTTTTGTGTGGATATTATAGTAATTTCAATAGTTGAGATAATGAGTCAATTGAAGCTATACCACTATGAAAAACCTGGAAGCATTAGACGGCTGTTTCGTCATATGATGGGACTCCTCAGTAGTTCACATTCACGACTAAACATCCAAGATTAAACAGTCACCGATTTCTGAAAATATTTATAATTAATAATCAGTCAGATAATGATGCATTTCGATAACTTACTTCATGAAATTCTGGGAATAGAGTAGCTTTTTTGACTTGAGTTTTCTGTTTTGTTTTCTTAGTTTTATCTGGTCGAAGGTATCTATTTATATGGAAAATACGAATACATATATAACATAGATATGTAATAAAATTTCGAATGGTGTGTATAATACAATTACTGAATTAGTTTTAATTTAATAAATACACAACGAAAACTTAATAAAATATTCAATGCTAAATGCATGGAATTAGAAATATTAGCCAATCAAAGTTAAGCACTTCTTGAAAGAGCTGAAGGTGTTGAATTCAATTACTGTCAAAACAGTAAATCCTCACTGCTGAGTAGTCTCAAATTGAATTGAATCAACTAGGTAATAAATCTTGGTTTCCAATGATTACCTAACTAAAGACACTTTTTGTTGTTTAGTATGAGTTTGGAATAAAAATACATTAGCAGTTTGAAAGTTATTTATATATATATTCAAATAATTGAATTCGTGAGTCAGTTGAAACTAGACCACCATAGAAAACCTGGAAGCACTGGACGGCATTTTCGTCCTAGTATGGGACTCTTCAGCAGTTAGACATTAACACCGTTGGATGCCGAATCACTGGTCTAAAGGTTAAACATTTGCACGCAGGACTGATAAGTCCCGGGTTAAAATCCCATGGAGCGGGATAGTGGGCGCGTACTGTTGAGGAGTCCTATACTAGGACGAAACTGCTATCCAGTGCTTCTAGGTTTTCCATGGGGGTTTAGCTTTAATTGACTCATGAATTCAACTATTAAATTGCTAAAGCCTCCACAAAACCCTTTTCCGATAATATTCAAATAATTTGATGCAAACATCTTAGGATCTACTAGTATCTGTTAATAAATGCTGCTTAAATGCAGTTTCAAATTGTATAATTGTGTCCCTACAACATATACATATTGCTAACATGAAGTATATATTAGTACCTTTATCGTACAGTAACTTAATAATCCAACCAAGATAGACTGTACGAAATGTTTATTTGACTGGTTGGATGTAAATCTACTAAATTATTATCTACGAAATATATAAAGTATGAATTAAATCATATATTATATTATTTAACAAAATATATTGAGCCGGGTAGTAAGTATGACAAATATTTCTGACAGAAAACGAGACATCCATTACTCTATTCATTTTTTTAGTTACATCGGTTTTGACGATTTTATAAACAGAAGTGATATTTAACACTGGTTAATAAACAACCAATGTAGATATCTCAACCGTGCAAGAGGTCAGTTATGGTTTGATTAGCTTTGTTAAAACATCTTAAACTATAAGGCTGTGTGACGTTGGTTTGTACTTGACAGGAAATATTAGATATCTCAACGTTTCTGACACCCTCAAAGTAAGAGGAGCATTCCTACAATTGAAGCATATACGGAACTCAAAGCAACCAATATCAAAGTCAGAATCATCAGTGCGAATGACAAAACAGTCCTACTATATTGAGCTGAAACTTGGAGAACTACCACAAATATCGAAATTGTAGAGGTATTTATAGACAGTTGTCTATTCAAAATACTCATTGAGAGAGAACAAACCAGTTTCCGGCTGAAGAGGAAATTAGAAAAAGACGTCAAAAGTGTATTAACATACATTAAGGAAATCATCAAACTGCATTAAGAAGCAAGCGCTAACTCTAAATCCTAAAGGAAAATAGAAGAAAGGAAGATCAAGGAATATACGGCATCGGGAATTGGAAGCAGACGTCAAAAGAATAAAATAGCAATTGGAAAGAACTGGACAGTTTTGTCCGGGATAGTGTTGGGTGGAGAATGCTGATGGTCAAGCTATGCTCCTCCAGAAGAGGCAACAGGCTTAAGTAAGTCAGTAAGTAAGTTCTGTCACCCATTTCTGTTAAGTATCAACTAACATAAAATCTAGTTACTGAGTTTACTGTGGTCTTGTATCAATCATATGAAGTAAAACATATTAAACTGAACTAATAATCTTATTAAAATATGGACTATAGAAACACAGAAGTTTCTGATATTGAACTTTTCAAAAGTTATTATGACATACAAGATATTTCTATAAAGGGAATCATTTGAATTTTCACAAACTTTCTAGCGTTTAACTCTTTCTTTCTCCCTTTCTCCCTCTGTGACTAAAATGAGTATATATTTCGTGACTTTCTATGTACTCATTTAATTATACGAAATGTCCCTATATATTTATTATTTCTTATAAATGCGTTATTTCAAAATAAAGAAAACATAAAAGAAAAATCATCAGTTAATTATTTAAGATAAGTACATCTGATAATAATTCTGTATTGTTTACTAAACTCTATCATTCATTGTATTTTTTTTTATAAAAAAAAGAAAAAAGAAAGGAAAAGTAAACATTATGTATTCAACAAATGTATTATTATTATTGTATTCAATTAATAAATAACTAGATTAATATATATATCTAACTAGAAAGTCATTAATTGAAAGCTGACATTTTATAATACAATCATATTGTTAGTTTTAATTACATTTTGATTTTTTGATTTTTTTTAAAAAAATAGAGAAAAAAGAATAAGGTCATAAGCTTAATTTTCTCTATAAATTGTTATATTTCGTTTTTTTCCTCTTTTTTTTTTTAAAAATAAAAAATTTATAGAATCTTCAAGTTGATAAAGAATACTCTACTAACCTTTAAATTTTATTTGATTTATTGATTTGTATTATTATGAATTTATTATTTTATTTTATTTTTTTTTGTTGTTGTATTTTTCTTTAGTTTTTTAAATAAATTCATTTTTATAGAAATAATATTTTATTATTAAATTTCTTTTTGTTTTATTTATTTATTTTTATTTTAATGAAAAGTGGACTTATTCTTTCCTTGTTTCTCTCACTCTCTCTCTCTCTCGCTCAGTCTCTTTCTTTCTCTATTTTTTTCTTTTTCTTTATTAATATTCAGAATTAAGTTTTATTTTCATTATGTTTAATTTACTTTATTATTTTTTTTGAAAAAAAGAGAAAAAAAGAAAAAGAAAACTGTTTATAATTCAAGCGCCAACAATAGAAATGGATTCATTTTTTTAAATATTCTGATTTGTTCCATAAATTGTAGGTCAATTTTATTCAATGTTCAATTTAAAAAGCTTTGAGTAAAACATTAAATTTCTTTGCATATTATAGATATAGAATATATATATATATAAATTAGAGGAAATAAATGATGGATACATATAAATAAAAGTCATTTGCATGCAATTTACAAAAAAAATAAAACAAACAAAAAAAGTTTTTCTTAGGGAGGAATATAATTGAGCTTATTTATTGGTGTCATTTTAAATTTATACCTTTATTATATTAGTCAATCAACTGTTATAAACTATTCTTATCAAGGAATGAAGTCATATAAACAACTACTGTAAAACAAGACAAAAAAAAGATAATGAACGACTGTTTTATTGTAATTTGTGATTTGCCAGTAGTGTACATACACATATTTCTACAGGTTCGAGATTACAATTCAAATGATTAGATAAGTAAATTTGTCATATTCTAGTGAAGATTAAATTATGGGTAACTTCTAAGAACTGTTAATGGAATAATATTATATATATATATTTCTATTGTATAACTGTTCAGTGGCTAGATTATCTATACTCCTCTCATTCTAAGCTTCATTTTGACGTATAGATCATTATTATGATACGATGTACTGTTCTTAGATTATGTTTATCTTATTAGTTACCGTTTTCCCCGTTCACAGTCACTTTTTGGCTTGATCTCGTATAAATATTATTTCCTTATTTTATGGTATGATGCCGTCTGATTGGCTGGTATATAAACCAAGTATGTTTGAAATAAATGATTCGCATAGTGGGACCTGTTATTGGCGTTGTAGACTCAAGCGTACAGGCTAGGCGAACAAAGGATCAATAATGATTCTATGCTGCTCATATCAGTCTGACGTCATTGATTTAGCACAGTACTAAGATTGAATAATTTGTATTTCGTTTGGAGAATAAATCACGTGATAACTAGCCGGGATTAAAGATACAACAAAATTAGAATCACTAGGATAAAAACTAGGATTCAATTGCCAGAATTGTGAAGTTGTGATCAGTAGAGTCAATCAGTCTGAAATGAGTTCGTCCCTAATCACTAACATATAATGATGTTCACAATATCCAAGGAATGTCTGAGTTTAAAAATGGTAATCAATGAATTTAAATTAACTAAGTAATATCCATGAAAATCCGAAAAGACTTGGTTAATACCAACTTTTTAGAGCTATGATTGGAGCTGATGACAATCTACAAGTTAGTGTTGTATTCTGGAGGTGAATCATTTTTCTAATTATATGATAGGTTTCAAAAAATAAGCTAGCCATTTTGAAGAGTTGTTTTATCAGACTTTCACTACTCATTAATATAAACTTGGAATTTAATTTATAAATAATCTCTCCTTCTATCACTAACAAGTTTTGTGATTCTTAAACTCATGAGAAAGTACCAAGACTTAAAACACAAAACGTAACTAATAATAATTAACAGTTTCAACACGTAACTGACCAATATTACAACATGAATTACTTCAAATGACATAAAGCTGATTATCGTCTTTTAGGCCACAATATTCCACATACTATTTTCTCATTATTGAATATTCCCCAATTATAAGAACAACTTTAAACAGTCTGATAAATTTCCAAAGTTAACGACAGATGTAACAAAAATACATTCAAAAGGTGTGCTTTCATTTACATGAATTGTTCATTCATTTCTGTCGTGTAAGTCAATAAATTTCGAACCCCGCGAGCGGGATCGTGAGTGTGCACTGCTGAGGTGTCCCATACTAAGACGAAACATCCTTTCACGCTCTCCATGGTGATCTAGCTTTTATTGACTCATAAATCAAACTATTAAATTACTACAATCTCCATAAAACCTCTTTCTGATAAATTTCAAAACATTAAAGAATTTAAATACTATCCTCAACTGGAGAAATTAAGAAAAAAAGCTCTTAACCTTAGTTTCATCCCAATCATCATTTGTCAGTAAGATGTTTGGGTAATCTCGTGGAATGCGGAACCCATTGTGAGATTAGAACTTTCAATACCGTATGTTTAGATAGAAGAAGTTATTACTAAACTAACAAGACAACAAGAGCTCATTTATCCCAAAATAATAATTCTCAATGTTTCATTAGGTTAGTAATTTCATATCAAAATCAGTCAAATTCAAATTCCTACAAAAAGCAAAAGTAATAGTCATTCAAATTCGAAAATCAGAAAAATGTGTGCTTAGCTAATATATTCAGCCCCTTCTCTTACTTTGGTCAACCTCTGAGCCAGTAATTTACTTGTAATCTTAATTTTAGAGATACCTTATTTGAATAGTGTACTTACAACCTCAGTACTTTTATATTCTCATAAGTTAATAACTATTATGATAATAATAATTCAAAGAAATGTAGGTAAAAATAATAATGGGAATAACATCTGAATAAGATTAATTTTGTTGCAAGATCACAATGAATCTTCTTAACATGAGGATAATTTATTTAGTACTCAACCCACTGCATTATACTTTTTTTATTACCGAATTTATGGACTATGTAGTCATCCACATTTAATCTGATTTGTAATTACATTATTATTTCTTTGTCACTTTGCTACCCATATCTGTTCTGATCAAACTCACAGTTTCATTTAACGTATAGGCTCATTTAAGTTATCATTGTGTGTTAGTCATTTCAACATGAACAATTCTATTTTGATGGAGTTTTGTTCTCCGAGCTGGATGGTTGGGTCGTGGAGCTTTCATTGTTCTTCTGAACGAACAAATAATCCTGAAGTCATAATCAGAGACAATGGTGGCCAGCAATGGAATCTAGAATGCGCGTTACGTTCTATTTGCAACTCGTCAACCAGATAAATGTATAGTGTTTTACTGATTGATTTCCCGTCGAATTAGCATGTCACTACTAACTAACCATTAAGTAGTGACTAATATTCATGGATTTCTAATAAACTTTTTTAACTACATAGTAATAAATACAGTTCAGTCACTTAATTCGGTGATCGAAATTTAAACTTTAATCAATGACAATTGATCAATACTAGGTTGGTAACGATGTGATATTCATTAAAATTTAGTAATCAATTAGTATCCTATTATTTATGATAAAATTTATATAAAGTTAACAAAGGCAACTGCTTACAATTTGACAAAAGGATCAGAGAATCCATTAAGATCCATTGGAGCTAGATTAGCGCAACGAATTACTTCAACATATAATTGTTTACGATCTTCTAAATAGCCAAGACCTAGTTGTATTTTACCACGTGTTGGGCATGCTAAATCAAATTCACCACGTTGTATCTAGTAAATAGGATAAAACTTTATTATCATTAATTTGATTTATTGTAATAAATTATATAAATTAGTTTATTTAACATTTAAGCGAAAAATGTCTTGAAACACGTAAAGAGAGGAAGAAATCAAAAATAAAATGTTCACTTATTGATGATATTAGTTTAAAGATCGCGCTACATCACAAAATCATCGATCGAAATTCTTTGTGTTATCTTTGGAACTTAAACGTTTTGAAATTGATCCATGGTGTAAAGTAGTCAAGATACAATGTGTAGAGGTCTCAAACCTAAAAGAAACAGGTGTTTTAATTGATGCCTGATTGTTGATCATTCTAGAAACTATTCAGTAACATGTTAGTTAATGGTTTGAACCCAGAGCTTGCTTTCATTTTGTGTTATAAACGACACTATGAAATACCATTTATGTATACAAAACTAAGCGTTTCTTGCTAATTATCTTTAAACATATTCTGGTATCACTTCTTTTGCTTTATGTAGACTGAAAATTGTTTCTTCACTTCGATAAACTTGATTGATGTGCTGAATATTATTTGGCACGCAACGATTTGTAATTTTAATTAGTCTCGAAGCAATGGCCAAATCTACGGTCACTAGCCAATGATTAAGTTTAGTTTCATAGTTGATTTGCAGCTTATGCAGTCATATGTGTTATGTAATTTCTATCTTTAACAACCAGATATCATAAAGTATTATATTTCTAATCAGAATCAAATTATGAACAATTGATAAAGCGTAATATGTAACAATCATATGTTTCTTTTAATACGAAATATATCTGATTTTTATTAAAAGCCATTGAAAAGTTTACATCTATTCTATAAGATTTTCAATAGCTTTATGTAATTATTAATTTAAATGTGTTACGTAATGAATGTTTGGAATGGAATGGCTTATTTCTGATCTTGACTCATGGAGTGTCAATATTTTCTAATAATTTATTTCTAAACAAAATAATACAAAAGTACCAGAGTGAGTTGAAGAATGCTGGTCGGCGGCCTATGCTCTATTGGTAGCAACACGTGTAAGTAAGTAATATAAAGTACAATATCAATGAAGTAAATACAAAATGAAGCTTGTAAGAAATAATAAATTCACTACATTCTTTGGATAACTATTATGTACAATAAAAATAATAAAACTACCGGTTTATGTGGACCAAGTGGAACAGTAAAATCGGTTAAACGATTAGGAATTAGTTGAGATAATTGTAATCGATATTCTCCAAGCCAGTCAGAACCATATAAATCTTCATCAAGTACAGCTAATCTAAATTATAAAATAAGATTTAATAATAATAATTAAATATTTAAAAATGAGGTTAATCGTCCTTATTCAATGTTTAATAAAAGTGTAACATCTAACATTTCAGGGCATTTTTCTTTTCATTTAATAGGTTAATGTTACACATGAGAGCATAATTTTCACTAGAGGTTTTATATCAGTTATTGAAAATTATTTGTACATATTTTGTATAAAGAATTGTAAAATATAGATACAGTTTTTGCTATGAGTCCATAATCTCTCAACTATGAAATTATGTAATGACTCATAGAATTGTAGTGTGCTGTGGGTTACTTATATCCATATAAGTAGTATATAACGGTAGTCAAACATAAAATGTATTTCAGCAGAAGGTCGATAAGGAAAGAATGGGAACGGTAAGCAATTGGTATGAAAATGCATTACCAATGAAATCTGAGACAATGAACTGATATTTGCAAAAGAAACGGTCAAGTTCGAGACGATGGATTGATATTTTGCAAATTAACTATTAACTATATGCTTCTCAGATTTCATTGAGATGCTCTGTAATTTTGTGTCTTAATACTTTCGATTGTTTCCACTAGTGTTCTTAATCACTACAGTAGTACATTACAATTTCACAAAATTTGGATATGTGAACCATAGAATTTTGCTTCAATCGTTTAAAAGTGTCTGGTTGTTATAAAATTTTGTCACTGTTTTTGGTTCTTTAGTAGATAGTAAGTAAAGGGAAGCGGAAAAGAGGAAGTACAAAGTACACATTACGTCGGAAAATAGAAACAGATATAAAAAGAATGAATAACAACTGGAAAGAAATGGAAAGGATTTCCCAGGACAGGATCGGATGAAGAATACTGGTGGGCGGCATATTCTCCTCCACGAGGAGTAACTGGCGTAAGTAAGTAAATATGCAAAACTATCTGAGAAGTCTAAAACTAGGACAAATGTAAATATCTAATTCATTCCAACTTCCAAAAGCTTTTAGTTTATATCAGTTACTAATAAAAAATTATCTTATCTAACCAACAAAGAAATAGATACAAGCAATACATGACAGATTGAAAAAATAAATGAATGATTTATTGATGATAATGGTTGATAACAGTCAACAATAAATTTGTCAGATTATATATATATATATATATATATATATATATATATATATATATACATTATTTTATGAATAGATTGGTTGACATTTATCCTTTATATTCACATATACTAAACTTCTATGTACTGAGGTCTTACAATGTCTCACAATTAGATTATCAATTCTAAAAGAAATAAACGTATTCATCAGTCTATTCTTTCGAATAAATAATTGACTATAATAAATTAATAAGCCATATGTTAAATTAATATAGATATTTTAAAAATCTATATTGATAATAATAATGATTGGGAATTAAGAAATCCTATTAATTTTCCCATTAGTTCCAAATCAGTTTCATTAGGATTGTATGTACATAGAGTGAAAAAAAAGAAATGCCAATCGTGATTTATAACTCTTAAGGGTTAGCTTATTACCGTTTACGAATATTCGTCAAGATTAGAACGATTAGTTTGATAGAAATCGGGCGCCAAGTATAGAGAAGTCATTATATGTGAAAATTATATTTGACATAATCTCAGCGATTGAGATTTAAAATAATTCTATTGTTTCGTCCAGCTAACTTGTCTAGACTTGATTATTACCCTGAAGAAGTCTAGACAAGTTAGCTGGACGAAACGTTAGAATTATTTTAAATCTCAATCACTGAGATTATGTCAAATATAATTTCACATATAATGACTTAGCTTATTACCGTTTAGTAGTTGGTATAATCATGATACAACAGAATGGAGTCAAAAAATTTAAGGTATATTAGTACAGTTCTGAAGGTTTTAAAGTCAACTATATTTATAGATTTCAAGTTTAATCAATAGTGTTGTCATATAATTGATAATAATTGTGGGGGGTGCTACTGATGTCAACAGATATTAGTAGTATGCATCATCAATCGAAAGTGAAATACCTGGAAGAAGAAGATTAAGAAAATCAAAGAAAAGAAAACAGGAACAAAGAATGATTGATGTGGAGACGAACGAACAATGAAGTCTGAGACGATTGATTGATATGCATAGTTCTCAGATTTTGCTAAGATATTCTATAATTTTGTATTCACACATATTTAATTGTCCCTATTTGTGTCCTCATTCACTACAAATTTAGTATTGCGTAATGTACATGCTTCTTGTAAGAACCTTACTGTTAAGAAACATCAGTGTATCAGTGAATGATATACACAGTTGTTTATAGAAAAGACTATACTTTCCATGATGAATCTTAGATTAACCTTTCCACATCTGACGAGAATCTCGGAACAAGATTGACAGCTTAGAATCAACTAGACGATTTGAACTTCGTAAATGACCTGGTCATTCTATTCCATACATACGAGCAAATTCAGATGAAGACAACCAATGGGACAAGAGAAAAGCAACAAAATAAAACATGGAAAACGCCAACCCAATCACACTTAATGGAGAAACTCAGGTCACCATCATCGATGAACAAGGAGGGTCAGATGCAGACCTAAAGGCAAGGATTGGAAAACCTGGGACAGCATTCCTACATGTGAAAAACATATGGAACTCAAACTAACTATCTGTAAGCCGACATCAAAGTCAGAATCTTCAATACGAACGTCAACATAGTTCTACTGTACAGAGCTGAAACTACCGCAAACATCAATAAAAAGGTAAAAGTATTTATAAACAGTTCTCTACATAAGATACTCAATATCCATTGGCTGCATACCATCAGCAACAGATCACTGTGGGAGAGAACAAACCAGCTTGCAGCAGAGGAGTAAATTAGGAGAAGACGTTGGAGGTGAATAGGACATACATTACGGAAATCACCAAACTGCATCACGAGGCAAGCACTAACCTGGAGTCCCGAGAGGAAGCGGAAAAGAGGAAGGCTGAAGAACACATTGCATCGGAAAATAGAAGGAGACGTGAAAAGAATGAACAAAAACTGGAAGGAGCTTGAAAAGATTGTCCAGGACAGGGTTGGATGGAGAGTGCTGATGGTCGGCCTATACTCCCCCATGAGGAGTAACAGGCGTAAGTAAATAAGTAATAACATACAGTGAGCGGTGTTCATTTTTCAGGGAAAGTTTATAAATTAGTCCAAGCCATAAACAAGTGTCATCGTTTAAATTTACACTTTTGCTATTTCTGTAAAACTGAAAATTATTTAAGAAATTATATATTATGGCTTAGCTGACAGATGTGTTTCCTATGTGGATTACGTCGATATAGTCTTTATGAACACAAGTTTTAATATTAAAGATGAAACATGACTAACAATGTAATCCAGAACACAGATAGATCCACGTAATAAGTCCCAAACAGAATAAAAACCACATACTCGATTCCATTGTTAACCATGTTTCATCAAAAGAAAAAAACAAAATTGAAGTAAAACCACTGTTTTTTCAACAATGACAGTTTAACATTTAGTTTAAGGTATTTTATGTGTGAAAATACACTTGAATCTTGTTCTTAATTTAAAATGAAATTGTAATCGGTCACTATTGACACAGAATACACAATCATAATACTTTCAGCCTACTATCTAAAAAATAATTTAATCTTTATTCAATAAAAGATAGATTTTCATCTAGAGATGAGGAAAAGTATGGAATCCCTTGATTACAGATTTTTGTTTAAAAAAAAAGGCGTAGAAAGTAACATTCATTTTCTAGAAATATCCTCATTCAGTTGTGTTGAATTAATGATTGACCTTAAACAAACAAACAAAATAAGCAGATTGATTGAATTGTAGAATTGAGGTTAAATTAGTAATATGTAACAAAATCAGTAATTTATTCTTAATTTTATAATAAGTGAGTTCATTTTTGATACATTGAATATAACGATTCGTTCTTTTCAGAAAATTTTTAATTTAATTAAAGGCATATTACTTTTTTTTAGAAGTTGTTTAGTTAAACTCTTTTCTTTTTTTAATGGTAAAAAGATTAAAAGTAGACCACCATAGAAAACCTAGAAGCACTGTACAGCCGTTTCTTCCTAGTAAAGGACTCCACAGCAGTGTGAATCCACGATTCTACCACCCGTGGGATTCGAACCCAAAACCTATCAGTCTCGCATGCGAGCGCTTAACCATTAGACCACTGAGCCGGTTGGTATCCAACGGTGTTAATGTCTAACTTCAACCAATCCACGAAATCGCGTCCAGGTTTCCATGATGGTCTAGCTTCAATTGACTCATGATTTCAACTATTGAAATTTCTAAAATCTCCACATAACCCTTTCTGAAGATAAAAGATTAATTGAATAGTTCAATAAAATAATGAAGAATAATGAATGAATATGAGATCAATAATCAATTTTGTTTTACTGTTTATGGAAAATATAAATTATTTGTTGATTAGTTACATAACATAGATACAAATATCAAGTTTTAATTTGATAACTTAAAGATTATTTATTGAATATAGATAATAACAAATCATTGTATAATGAATGAGGACATAAATAGGGACAATTAAATGTGTGTAAATACAAAATTATAGAAAATCTTAGTAAAATCTGAGAACTATGCAATCAATAATTCATTTGTAGCATATCAATCAATCGTCTCAGACTTCATTGTTCGTTCGTTTCCACATCAATCATTCTTTGTTCCTGTTTTCTTTTCTTTGATTTTCTTAATCTTCTTCTTCCAGGTATTTCACTTTCGATTGATGATACATATTACTTATATCTGTTGACATCAGTAGCATACACCAAAATTGGTGATATGGTAGAGAAATACATGTTAACAAGAAATACTATAGACCGATTATTTCATACTCAACAACCATATACTAAAAGTTTATTTGATATTGTTTGTTTGATGTTTAGAACTGCAATTGATTAGTCTTATATTTGCATGTGCATACCTTGTGCGGATTGCTTTGATATTGCCATAATTCACAAGCTTTATAAGCAAAGATGGGTAGTGGTTAACAGTGGAATCCAGAATGTGCGTTTCGTCCCATTTGGGACTCGTCACCTGGATGTAACTGTATCTCAGAGCTGGTGTTTACTCTGAGAATCAAACCCACTACCGTTCGCTTCAAACGACATTGCGTTATCCACTTAGCTTTTGAGTCCTGATAGCCACTAGTTTGTGCAATAAGGTGAAGTTTAAATTCACTTGGTATTGTTTACTTGAATCTTTCCATTGATGTATACCAAAAGTTTGTATTATTATTTCAACAAAAGAGATATTCAATGGGATATTTCTTTTCAAGTCATGATGAATTTCTAAGTAATTTTCTTCATGAATTGATATGAACAACTGAATTGTCGAATATCAAAGGCTGCCTAGTAGTTGCATAATTATAGTTTAAAGAGCTACAAATAACAATGTTTAATCTGGATGTAACATATGACAACAATTATTTCTAGTCAAATGATACATAGCTATGTTTAATGATTGTGTTTTTTCTTAAATGTTAAAGATTTAGTGATTTATCAATGAGAATTTTATTTAGTCTACAGTATGTTAATACTACTTAAATAGTTTATTTTAAAAGACACTGTTTTGTACACGTTCTTTAAATATCTCATAGTTGATGGATCTTTAAAAGAAAATATGTTACTTGATTATATTTTTAGTGTTAAAGCTATTCTATGAAGATATTATCTAGTAGACCGGATAGAAGTTGGTCTAATAGCAGTTGTAGCACTGGCAGTAGTATTAGCAGTAGTGGTAGTAGCAGTAGTAGTACTAGTAGCAGTAATAGTAGTAGTAGTAGTAGTAGTAGTAGTCAAGCTTTAAATATATAATAATGGTTCAATAAAATCCATTTAAAGCAATAATGATAATTAATGTGAATTTTCAAATAAAACTAATTTATTCTGAATAGGAAAGATTTTTTTAAAGAGCTACGTAGGATAATTAGTTTTTTTTCAATTTGTTTAACCAATTGATACTCTCAAGTAACAGTGAGCAAATTTAATACAAACCCTTAAAGATATAAATAGTTTTCTTAAATATATTAGATACACCTTGTTAATAAGAGTTATATATTGTATAATCTAAATATAGTACTTCTTATAACTATCTAATAATGAATATACAAGTGAATATGTTCCTAACTAAACAGTAAATACTATACACATTCTGAGTATTAATAATGTTTACTTAAAATCTATAAACAAATGTAACGGAAACAATAGAACGAAACAATCGTCCAATGCTTCTAAGTTTTCAATGGTGGTCTAACATCAATCAATTCATGATCTCAATCAAAAAGTTATTCAAATCTCCACAACACTATACTGATAAAAAAAAGTACACACACACGCACACATACGCATACAATCCCACCTTAATGTTTTTAATTGAATATTTTTTCCATCAAATGGTTCAAAAGTTAATGCTTCATTCCAAACTGGATTTAAACATTGTGGTCGTGTTGATGTACGTGGTGTTGTACTATTATGACTTGTTGGTAATAATTGACATACAACATATGGATCAGATAAACCATTTGCATCCATTGCAATTAAATTCTAAAATAATATAAATCAAAATAGAATAGAATTGATATACATTATATATTGATTATGATTTGAACAAATGAAATTAATATAGTTACAATGTTTTACTAGACAATCATTTACAAGCCTCTTCAATAAACTAATTCTAATTATCATATATCAATGAAGTCAAATACACTTTCTTTCCCAATAAACAATGATTGAATTATATTTACATAGTAAATTTGATTTTATTAATGTGTACACTAATTACTTATTACGTAACATACCAAAATGTTTGCATGCAATAATATATTTTCATGCATAAATTACCTACAACTTACTTTGGTAATTTTATATGGCCTAAGGCCATAACTAGTTTATTCTAAACTTCAGTGTTATTATAAATATAATGAGCTTTTGTTGAAGTATCTACTGGATGGAAAATAAGGATAAAATTGTCTGTTTACATGCTAGCAACATTAGACAGATGTATTAGAAAAATGTATTGTAATAACTGCCTAAACAGTTGAATGTATGTTGTTCTTGTTGATTATGATAAGTAAGAAATTGTTATTTGATACAACTATATTTAATAGTTAATAACCGCAAAATTACATCCAATGATACATTATTCTGTCTATTGACATTATTTGTCTGTAATTGTAAGGGTGCTCGATATCTTTGTGTTTGCGCCACAGGATTGAGCTATACTATTCAGCCTACATGGTGTCTGGCTCTCCTATGAAGCGGAATTGATTCCTACTGCTCGGGTTATAAAGTTTGAGCCTGAATTGTATCTGAATCTCCTGAAAACCAATGTAAAAATTACACTGGCCCAAAATGGTATATTATATAACTAACAGTGTAAGGCTTCTCTGGTTAGATTTTATTTATTGAACAATGAACCTCTCCAATTTATTTGAAATTTGTTGTTTCCTATTTTAAATTAATATAATAGTATTGACGAACTATTCTGCAATGTCGTATGGTCTTCTGAGATCTTGGGACTATGTTTTAAGTATTGTTCATTTTTAATCATCGTTACATTCAACAGTATTTGTGTTTCCACTACGGATATGTCATTAAAATTATAATATTTAATTTTGTAGACGGAGTTTTGCTGTTTTTCACTCCGTTTCTTTTATTTTTTTAATTAACACATCCTGTTTTGTTTCCCTTATGGGATTACATACAAATTCACTACCAGTTTCCCAATCATTAATAGTCATAACTAGTTAGAGAAAGCATATTAATGTAGCTCCACCCATAAAAACAATTTCAGAAAATTTGTACGAATATACTAATTGCCATTTATTTTTTTAGTTTAGATCACGAAATGAAGTATTAGATAGCTGTTCTATGTTAATATGGGACTAAGCAGTTTGCATCTATGATCCGTAATTTAAACTATGAAAATTTTACAATCTCAATAAAACTCGTTAATGATATAGATTATTTGTTAACTTCAAACGTCAGTTAGTCAGCTACAACGTAGGACGAGGCACATATATGCATCGGTCCAGGTTGCCATACCTCATTTACTTGAATTAGATTCTCGTTCCATGATGAATAAAAGCCAAAAACATTACTTTCCATAGCATATCTTGAACACATCCATACAGTTAATAAAATCCCAATTTGAGTATAACTGAACGGAACAAAATATTTTTCGAATATATTTATTTTTGATGACTTGAACTTTCATAGATTTCAAATCGAAACCATCATTAAAACACTTAAAGCAGTGAACTCCTCAGTAGTGTGCATCCAATACTCATAGGTTTTCAGTGGTGTTTTGTGAACATTCTACAATTTCACAAAACCCTATACTGATGATTTTAATTTTGATTATTCCCATGAATAAGTTTGAACCAGATTGTCGAACAGTATGTATACTGGGTATCACGCATCCTCTAAAAAATCAATCTTAATTTCATATAATGATCCAAGATCAGCTACACAAGTTGTCTTCATCTGAATTTGTTCGTGTGCTAGGTCATCTGCAAAGTCCAAATCGTTTAATTGGTTCTGAGCTGTCCATTATATTTCGTGTTTTCCCTCAAATGTCGAGGTCTTCATAATCCAGACGACCATCAGATGAAAAATAATAGCTTAATACATAAAGATATCAATCAAGATGTTATGTCATTTCAATGCATATGATTTTTAAAAGAATATAATTTCGTGCTTAACTGATTCCATATACTGTAAAACTGTCTTTCTTCTCATGTAATTCACAATAGCTTTTATGAAAAAAATCAACTAACGACATACAACATACATAATTATAAAATATATATGAAATTTAATCTATAACAAACAACCTACTTTAGCTTTGTGAATAGCTACATGAAGTTGTTTATTCAATGTGTCATGATATAATGTGAAGTAGAGCACACCAAATGGAGCTAATAGTGATTGAATGAGATAAAGACAAAAAGAATGGTATTAGTTTAGACGGGAAAAAAGAGTTGCTCAATTCTATATGAGAATTTCATCATATTTATGTACGGCCTACTGACTATATGTTTTTAAAAATTATACTTCTTTATGCTTTTGGTTGCATTCATAGTTGTGAACAATGATTTAATAAATAAAAAGTATTTATAGTTGAATAGTAACATTCTAAACTGTTGAAATCCTAGAGGGATTGTCAGTTCGCTCAAGGTTATGGATATGCCTTACTAATGAGTGTCGAATAGCATAAAAAATGAATCCATGATGTCCTACCTCTTACATCCGACTGCCTAATATCTGAACACAGTGCATGTAATATCAAATCATTTGGACTAGTGGACAAACCACACGTTGATCGATAAAATTCGACCAATAATAAATGACTAGACAAACATTACATTAGTCACAACCTAGTGAGCATTAAATGACATTTATTATTCTATCGTTAGTTGTTTATCAGCTATGCATAGCTTAAACTTTTAATGACTGGTAATGTTATGAATTCAAGTATTATATACTTGTGTTAATAAAAAAAATTTACCGACTATCTGGTTATTACACTCACAAAAACACTTATTCTTATCATTATCATTCTTGCTTACTTGACTCTCTCTTACTGGACTTGGATTAATCTCCACAAATAAATCTACTAAAAATGCACACATCTCAAAAAGAGACTGACCAATTGCAGTGTTTAATATCAATGGGAAGATACAAACACTCATAAATCATTTATTTACTCGTAAATTTATATACCTGATGAGAAGCTTTGAAATAGGGTCAATGATACGTTTTTAATTCAACTTGACCGACTATCTTAGGTTGTTCAGTAAATATTATTATTTACATTATTATCATCCTTACATTATGTATTTATGGATTTCAATCTTCATTCAAATTCTGTCATTTCTGTGATGGTTAAGTAATTATTTCTTCCTCTTCCTGCGTTAAAAGACAAGCTCTCACCTGGAATCCTCAAGGCCAAAGGAAAAGAGGAAGACCAAAGAACACATTACACCGGGAAATAGAGATAGACATGAGAAAAATGAACAAGAACTGGATGGAACTAGAAAAGAAGGCCCAGGACAGAGTGGGTTGGAGAATAGTGGTCGGCGGCCTATGCTCCATTATATATATATATATATATATATATATATATATAATCGTTGATGTATGTGAAGTAGAAGGCTTTACATCAGTTAGTCATTCAGCAGCAACATAGAACTTCAATATAGACGTCTTCAAAGTTAAAGGTCTAGTCAGTAGTATTATTACAATTAGAAATCCTCAAAGACATATGCACGAAATGTTTCAAATTTTGATATAAAGAACATCTAAACGTTTGAATATTTCAAACATCAACCACCGTTTTTCACACTAATTCTATTACGTAATTAAATTAATAAGCTAAAAACATACATCATCTAATCAACGTAAATTCATTAATATTCGTTAGAAGTTAATAGACGCTTGTGGCATCTGAATTTTCTCCATTTACCTCGGATTCACTTTAGCATTACAAGTTGATGTAACTTGTTAGAATATATTTTAGTTGAATGTTATCTCTGTAAATGGTTTTACATGAAATGAGACATTTTTTTCTTCAAAACATCTAGAAAAAGTATGATTATAAAATTACCTTCTTCATTTGAAGATACGGTTGGACGTCGTACTACAGACGTGGCACCCGATGATGATGAAAGAAGATTGGATGGTTCTTTTTCACCTGTTAAACTTACAACCTTCTGTGTAGAATTGGCATTAGTGAATGAAGAAGCTAATGCTGAGGCTGTCGAATGATTAACACTTTTATTAGATACAAATGACGGATGAAATGATTGTGCTGAAACAGGTGACTGTGGTCTCCATAATGAACTAGTATTTATTGAGTCGGATAAAAGACATGAAGCCGGTGAGATATGAGTTATATCTTGACTATTTGTTGTTGCAGGAACATTTGTATATGTTGGTGAGCTTGATTTGGGTACATCAACAGTACTTTGATCCGTTGGAGTATATGAAGAATGTTCTGGAGATTTCGGAAATCCCTTAGATATTCCACGTGTTTTCGTACTTGACGTAACTATGGTATGAAAAAACATCATCTTCATTGAGCAACATTCAGTATTTTACAATAAAATTTGTTCGAATACATTTGAATTAAGGACAAAATTTAATGACAAGATATGTTGAATGTTTATGAATTTTTATATGATCGAACGTATTTTTGTAACATTAAGGTGAACTGAATAACTAAATTTTAAGCAACTGTGAGACTTTCTGTCTGTTTATAAAACCAACATAGATAAATCTAGAGAATAAAACCACCTAAATAAATGTTCTAACAACTGACTGATTCATATAAACACAAATTTTCGTAAGTCGACAGAATGCTTCTTAAACTTTGTGCCAAAACTCACTAGCTTTGTTCTCAAAGTTGATTAATCTAACAGTACACTTTCAACAGCATTCATCAATATATGTCTTTTCAGAACTTATAACTAGAACATATTATATAAAAGCTAGTTGTAGTCACTTTGTATTTACAATTGATTAATGATTAGGTAGTAACCAATTTCATGTATCTAGCTCTCTCGTCAATTCTAGAAAGTAGGTAACCTAAGTGACATACACTATGTTTAGACTTTAGATGGATGGAGTTAGTCAACAAGAAACTTCGGAACTTGGTTTCATGTTAGTGATTAATACCATAATCCTACGGAAGGTTAATTGCGAACTGAATAGCTCAGTGATAATATCTTATATTGTGAAACTGGGCGACGCTAGTTGTAATGTCACAGGAACCATCAGTTTCCTCAAGTCTACAGGTAAACCTTATTGACAAGTCCCGATTAGCACAAAACCTATGCCTAGGATTCTTGTCCACTGTCTTCAACCATTGAATAAGACAATTTATATGGATTTATTATTTCATCTTATATGAAATATTTCAGTTTTCCCATGTGACTTATTTAAGAATAAAAATATTAATTACTACTTCCGGTTGTAAACGTAACACCTAATCTAAAAAATTTTAATGGGTATATGATGAAATACTTTTTTTGTGAAGTTGTTAATTTAATATCACGTTTTAAAATTTATCTTTTTAAACGATTTGATTTGATTTGAAAAGTAAAGATAATGTTACATAATAACAGCGAAGTTTACACAATATTCTCTGTTGTCAGTGTTGTGACTTTTGATGTACGTTAAATAGTGCATGACTTATTCTCCAATCAGAATATGACTTATACAATCTTCTAACTATGCCAAACTAATGACGTATTGACCGATATGAGCAACTTGGCATCCTTATTGGTCCATTTTCTTGCCTAGCCATGTCTGTTGAGTCCAGAACACTAATCTTAGCCTCTGCGATACGAATCATGTATTTCAAACATAGTGAGTTTATATACAAATCAAACAGACCACACCACAACATAAAATAGGAAATAGCATTTGTACAGGATCTAGCCGATCTGGTTTTTCTATCGCAAACGCAACAACATATGCGGGAGAAGACGACCAGTGTAGCAGCAGTAGGTCTCAACATACACAAAAAGAAAAGCGAGATTCTCCGGTACAACACAGCATGCACTAATCGAATCAAATTTGACGGAGAAGATTTGGAAGATGTAAAAACGTTTACATATTTGGGCATCATTATCGATGAATACGGTGGATTTGATGCAGATATGAAGGCGCGGATCGGCAAAGCAAGAGCAGCATATCTACATCTGGAACTCAAAACAACTCTCAGCCAACTCCACAGTCAGAATTTTTAACACAAATGTCAAGACAGTTCTACTGTATAGGGTGGAAACTTGGAGAACTACGAAAGCCATCATCCAGAAGATACAAGTGTTTATTAACAGTTTCCTACGCAAAATACTTCGGATCCGTTAGTCAAACACTATCAGTAACAACCTACTATGGGAGAGAACAAACCAGATCCCAGCGGAGGAGGAAATCAGGAAGAATCGCTGGAAGTGGATAGGACATACATTAAGAAAAGCACTTAACTGCGTCACATGGCAAGCCCTCATCTGGAATCCTCAAGGCCAAAGGAAAAGAGGAAGACCAAAGAACACATTACACCGGGAAATAGAGATAGACATGAGAAAAATGAACAAGAAATGGATGGAACTAGAAAAGAAGGCCCAGGACAGAGCGGGTTGGAGAATAGTGGTCGGTGGCCTATGCTCCATTGGGAGTAACAGACGTAAGTAAGTACAAGATCTAGCCAAAAGTGGCTGTGATTGTGAGAGACAGTAATTAATAAACTGGGTATAACTTAAGAAGTGTAAATTGTATAATAATAGTCTATAGGCCAAAATAAAGCTTATAATAAGAAGAATATGAATATACAAAATTTTGTTCTTGAATAATTATACAATAAGAAAATATGTATAATATTTGTCCGTAAATCTTTCTCAGTAGTTACCTATAATTTAATATTCACTAGGATACAATAGTCAGTAACAAAGCATTTACAATTACTTTCATTTTATTATATTGTGGCACATACTAATGCAAACATTTTTTCACTGTAACGAAAAGTTATTTCTAAATTGTATGTTGATTCTATTTGGAGTTTAAATCACTAAGTGATCTTAGACTAACACTGAAAACTTGGAAGCACTGGACGGTTGTTTGGTCCCAGAAATGAACACTAGAAATGAATAATAACGAACTTACATCGAGGAATCGAACCCAAACTTTTCGGTTTTGCGCTAGAATCTTTAACCTCTAAACCATCAGGTTGTCATTTAAAGGTGCATATTTTGCTTATGTGTTTAAAGTCGTCATGTTTGTTGGCTTCGTTTCTGAAAATAATACTTAGGATAAATTAATTTGTCCACTATCTATTAATAAACAAATCGATCATATAGTGTCGCAATTTGACTGAAGTGTTTGTGATCTTAATTAATCACCCATTTTATTGCGGTTAGACAACCTCTAAGCACAGACAGCTTTAAACTTGTAAGTTTAATACAATTGTTTACTGAAGTGCTTACCTTTCTCTATAGTATTTTTCTTTTCTACATTACATTGTATTTGTTCAGTCAAAAGCCACATGAGGTTAATAATTAGAATAGCTCAGATTATCTAGTTATTTTGCCATTACGTGTTAGTGCTTGCTTTGAAAGGATAACCTCAATGACATTTTCCTAATTCATATTTCTACAATAACATTTACTGTCAGCTTATTGGTTGTCATCGTCCAAAGTCATTGAATGTTACGATAAAAACTTCTGTTTTTTTTAATTTTTGGCTTCTGTATGGAACATGAGGTCATCCTAAAAGTCCCATATTCCCCATTAGAGTGTGGATTTTTAACGTTTAAACCTAATTGCATGATAGGCAAGATTTAACAGACGATGATGATGGTAAATACTGCCAAACTATATAATACTAGATTGGATATAGTTATGTTACACAGTAGTTTTTTGATAATCTGGGAATATACTAGTGATTTAGAAACTTTTGAATCAACCAGTTTCTTATTATGAATATAAATTGTTGAGAAACAATTACAAGAGTGGGTCAATTTTCAAGCTATGAAAATTTGGATTCATCAGGAAGCATATGCGCACATCAATTTAGTGAGCTGAATAAGAATTATATATTGCAAACCTTGGATAAAATTGATAAATTTTATGTTCCAGACGATACATAGATCGTTGACTAACTCATCAAAGGCGTCAGTTTCCTCCCTCAAAATTATACCACCAAAACTCTAGAAGATATTTCCAGGACTCTATCAAATCACTTTATATTGCATTTCAAATCAGAAAATTAAAAATCTATCCCTGTAAGTCTAATAAATAGAATGAAATGTAGATCATTACTTTAAAGATTGACGACATTTAAATATGACCAGCGAAGCTCTTAATGTAGATTTGTTTTCTAAGCATTATGTATCCTCTGATAAGTTCGATTTTGTTCATTACCTTGTAGAAGTCTAGACCACTTTATTAGAAGGAACATTAGAATAATTTAAATTTCAATCTTTGAGATTATTTAAAAAATTAAGTTTTGCTAAATACTCAATGTCTAATTTCTATCAAACCATTCATTCGAATACCGAGAAATATTCTCTCAGATTCCTACTATTATATTTAGACTATAAAGATATGAAGCCAATCTGAAAAATAAAATTGAATCACAGCTATTTCACTATAGTTGATATTCTTGGTTTATTTCAATAATTTTACTATTTATTTGAGCACATAAATATTGGTACAAGGGGGCACCATATATATATGCACCCCTAAATGCCCTTGTACGGCCGAAACTGAGGAGGGCCCATCACCCCTCTCGAAATGCTCTCTCACGGTCACGCGTATACAGTCTCTGCCAAGGAGGTCTTACTCATCGCCTTCCCGTGGCAAGGGTGTTGTTCACGAAATTGAGAGGACAAAAAGCGAATATCCGGCACTTTAACCGGGTTGGTGGTCACGGAGAGTCCACCTAGGGGAGTTGGAAAACCCTGATTCCAAACCAATGGTGCACATGGGCTCCAGTACCCTGAGGGAACGAATGGTGTATGAACCAGTCGTTGGTTACTGGCTACTATGGGACTGCATCTCCTTACAATGCTCCAGTGCCTTGTGGATTAGACTTTTAGGTCGGAGGCCCCGGGTGTGGTCGCCTAAGAAAACCACCTGCTTCGGTTTGGGCACCCGTGCAGTATCACAGCCGACACACAAATAAAATGAAATGACAGCATTTATTTCAATAAATCATCAAATGACTAATCCAACTATTATTTTTACATGTATTGAACACTATAATTAAAGAAAACTAGTTACATAATTCACTGGAATAGTAATCACTATGCATCAATATGAAATACACAAAGAGTAACCGTAGATAATAACTATTACTATTATTGTGATGTATGCTACTTATGTTTGCAGATATAACTAGTATGTAATACCAATCAGAAGTGGAGTGTCTACGAGCAGAAGGTTGAGAAGTTTGAAATGAAGACACGAGAGAAAGGAAATTCTGAAAACAATCACGATAACAACAGAAATGAAGTAATCACAAAGCTTGTAAATGACAATTCAGAGAAGATATGTAAAGGATGTGTTTGATGTATGATTTTTACACTTTGCTAAACCATTGTATTGATTGGGCACTGAAAAGTAAATTGGTCTTCTCATCTGAGTCCTCGTTTATTACATTATCATTCGGTAAGCAAGTTTTATTTACCGAAGAATTTGATAAATCACTTGATTAATTTGCATAATTTACATGATTATTTCAATATTCAACTTTGAAGAATGAATGAAATAATTAACACATAAAAAGCCTTTCCATTTAATTGTTCTAATGAAGATCTTAATTATGCTCAATGGATAAACTATTAACAGTAGGAAACTTATTCATGTTTTATATAAAATCTAGTTTAATTCTAACTTACCCTTGACAACAAAGTTCAATTAAGTATATTATGAAGTACACCAAAAGATGTTTTATTGTTACAATCTACTATTTTTCGACCTATACGATGATTAAACCATCTGGAATATTTCGAAACTTTTACGTAGCACCAAAATAATAAACCATAAATAGATATCAGATAGATTTAACCAGTTGGTAATCGATGTAACTTGATAACCAGTGAATTTAAATCAGTTTTTAATAAAAACTGGTTATATAACTTTATCAGGATTCTCTGAAGAGTACATAGAATACCAAGTCTTCTGAGACATGAATTAAAGCTCTGAATATAATACTATCTAACTAATCTCGATTACGAATTGTTAAATTTCATAAAAACAGTAGTGGAAGTCTGTTGATAACAATCAAAGGTATTGGTTCGATTAATCTGGTTTTATGTAATCTTAGTTCCTGTAATTATTCTTCTAATAATTTGAGTTTAGTGATGATAACTTAACCTGGAAGTGAATATTTAGCATCGAACTAGTTTTAAAATAAAAGTTTACCATACAACTGCGGAAATTAGCTGTATTCCTTGATCTAAAGATGACATTCAACTTTATCTATCAAGCGGTCTTGTAGTGGTGTTTTTTACAAATAGGTGAATCAAAAATATTTGCTTCCCTACTGACTGCAATTGATAAACACGACCGAGCATGATGACGTAAAGGGTGACACTTTGAGATGATGCTTATCTGTGTTACGTCCAAATGTATTTATGGCTATTTGACTAAATACCTCTATATGTGATTTCTATGGTGTATTCAAATATTTATTGTTGTCCAAACAAAGTAAATTCTCTTCCGCTAATAGGTTTAGAAACCGGTAATAATATATATCCCTGATGAAGTTATAGCAACACTCCTACGATTAATTTTGATTATAATTAGATTTTGTTAAGTTTTTTATTAATTTATTCAACAGATACTGTTATTCGGACAGTAACATTTCGTCTCTTTCTTTGTATTATTATGATCACTAACATATCTGTATAATCGTGTATGTTTGATCATATGCAACAGCCTCCGCACATATCCTTTTCTAGCTTAAATGTTAATCGCTCAAATATCGTCCGATAAATCATTCTCTTTTTCATGTATACATGTGCTCAAATCTTATTAATCGCCTTTGCTTTGCCTAGCTGCGCCTAGATTCGATTTGACTGCTAATTCACCACTGTAATCGCTCGCGCACACACATTAACCTTTCTTTGCTCCAAATTGTCTAGATGTGTTTAACTTTTTTGTCTGTACTATCCGCTAATAAACTGTAGTCGCCGCTTTTTATTGCCTTCTGAATCTAAACACCATTAGGATCTATATAATAACGGTTATCAAAGCTAAGCCATTATAGTGTCATTATATTTTTTCTTAAGATAGGTGAAATCATTAAATATAAGTATTCATTAGATAATATTAATTCAAAAGCTTAGCAATCTGTGTATGATATAATTTATTTCATTCACTTATATGTTATTTTTATCTTAAGACTAATAACTTCATTTCATTTCCTCTTGGGTTAGCGACCAAATCCCGTAGAACACTAACTCACTATAAAAACGCTAACCAGAAAAAATAACTCAAACCTTTTAAACTCTGCCCTGGGAATTAAAAGGCATTCATTTAGAAGATTCATGATGCCTCATGGTGAAAGCCCAGTTCCTTCGGAAGTCACCAGAGAAACCATCAATTTAAGCAAATGGAATGGTCGTACAATGTGAGAGACTGGAGAGTCATCCAAATTTCTGCAGAAATGAAAAGATACAACGTGGATCTACTTGAAATCAGTGAAAAACATTAGACGCGTGTTGGGCAACAAAGACTAGCTTCAAGGAAGCTGACGTTATACTCCGACCACGAAGAAGAAAATGCTTCACATACATAAAGATTTGCAGTGATGCTATAAGCTTTTGAAAAAAATGTATCATACGTAAAATATTTACAAAATGAATTAAACTTTTCACTTTAACAATTCGATAAAATTGTCATCAGTAGTGGTATTTAAATGTATGATATAAACTATAACTTACCTTCATTTTGTGGTGTATCTTTAATTGTACTCGGTAAAGATGAGCTATCAGCTTCTGATCCTTCAGGTTTAGAAGGTCGCCCTTAAAAATAAACCGTAGATTGTTATAAAAATAAATTTTATTTAATTTTTAAATTATTTCTTATTTTAAATAATAAATAAATCAGAAGGGGATTTGAGGATATAATAGTGATTTTAATGGTTGAGATCATGAATTGATTGAAGCTAGACCACCATAGAAAAACTGGAAGCACTAGACGGCTGGTTCGTCCTAATATGGGACTCCTCGGCAGTGCTCATTCACGATCTCGCCTCGCGAGATTACAAACCAGGACCTATCAGTCCCACAATAGTATGAGACGGCCATCCAGTGCTTCCAGGTTTTTCCTGGTGGTCTAGCTTCAATTAACTCATGATCTCAACTAGAAAAATATTAAACTGACAAAATATATTTTTATCAGTAAATCATGACTATATCTTTCTTAAGTATATCATAAGTCCAGCGAAACTGTAACAGCTTTTGTTTAAAATGAAAAACTTTATTCTAACTTCAAACAGTGGAGTCCAATCAGGTCTGTTGTGAGATATCAACTCTCTGAAGACAATGGTGCACGGTGGCGCAATTTCGTGGATTGGTTGAAAATAGAAATTAACACCGTCGGATGCCAGACCAGTGGTCTAGGGGTTAAGTGTTCGCGTGCTAGACTGATAGGTCCTGGGTTCGAACTTTGCGAGGCGGGATCGTGGATGCGCACTGTTGAGGAGTCCCACAATAGAACGAAACGGCAGTCCAGTTGTTCTAGGTTTTCCATGGTGATCTAGCTTCAACTGACTCGTGATCTCAGCCGTTGAAATAAATAAATTCTTTTGGATTTGGTCAGTCAAATTATCATGGTAAGAATAGATTGAAATGTCGTTTAAAGTTGGTTCTCTTACCTTTGTTTTTCAATACTTAAATAGTTGAAACAGTGTGTCATTATTCAATTTGTTTAATAACGCTTTTAAGTTACAGCTATTCATTATGATATCTCACAATAAAAAAATTTCACCGGGTAACTGACTAATATCGAGGTTTTGGTGGAGTTTTATTCGCTGAGCTGAATGGTTTGGTCGTGAAGCTTTTATCGTTGTCTCTGATATAACGGGATTAAAAAGCAAATATAACACTCCTTTACTCATTGTGATTTTTGCTCAACATTACTTCCGTATGTTTAATCGATTTTGATAATTATTCAGAGTAATATTGTAGTAAACAAGAACACAGGTGGGGACAATCGAATGTATTTTGAAACAAAATTACAGAATATCTTAGTAAAATCTGAGAATCATACAAAAAATATTTCATGTCAATCAATTGTCTCAGACTTCACTGTTCCTTCATTTCCACATCAATCATTCTTTGTTCTCGTTCTTATTTCTTCGATCTTCTAAACCTTTTGCCTCCAGGTATTTCACTTTCGACTGATGATACATACTGCTTATATCTGTCGACATCAGGAGCACACACCTCAGTATTTGTTTGTTTTTCGGTGTCATATTTTATTAGATATAACATTAATTTGAGTGCGGTGTTTATTCGGGATACGAAATTCTTGTAACAAATTAACATGAACTATGCTCAACGTAGTATGCTTGGTATAGTGGTATGTGATTTGGTATAACTCTGTGTATTTGTCACATATGTGATTTCATTCTAATTAATAATCAAAATGGGTGCATAATCAATCAAATGAGTGAGTTTTCGACTAGGGTCGTCGTCGTAGTTTGTACCAGTCTTTGTGTATTTATTATACGCGTCGTACAAATAGGAGTAGTTCCTCGCTTTTCAAGTATAAGTGATGAGCGATTTTGCCATAACAATTGATGACGACCAATCTTAACACTTCTGAATGATATCATCAGGACAAACTTCTACTTGATGAAAGCTCCACGACAAAACCATTCAACTTAAAGAACAAAACTTCATCAAAATCATCTACCTGAGCTAAAAATGTTTCGACATTTTAAAATGTAAAGCTGGATAGCACTTGTTTGAGTTACACAACAAACAGGAATTCTCTCCACATTTCAGATACTATTTGCTAACGAACACCAACCAATTTAAAACCCAGGTCAAGTACAGTTTTTCACCTGATGCCATTAACCACCCAAAATTCAATAGCTAAATTATTCATAAAACATATTCACACATTACTACGTGGGTAATCGAATATAATGGTGATTCGATTATGGAAATGTCTCAAGGAACCTCAATATTATTCTTATACATGATTAATGTTATATTCTACAAATACGAATTCTTATAAAATTTCACAGTACAATTCATAATCTTTACCTTCACCAAAGTTATGTATAAAATTTAGAAATCTTAAAGTCTAGATTGTTTACATGTAGCCCATTTTACCCTGTTACTAACATCAAAACGTTTACCGTCTTTAGTAACATAATTTTTTGAAAAAAATGTTGTAAGGAAAGAAAGTATTAGATTGAGTCACTGAGGTTAAGAAAATCACTGCGAGTAGTTGGGTGTTATGAACGTTATGATCTATCATGCAGTTTTGTTATTTTATTTAAAAACGTAACTGAATTTATAATTATTACTATTATTATTATTATTATTAATGGCTTTATTCAATATTATATTTTGGTAAAATATAGAGTTCTCAGCACGAGGTATTTCAACAACAACAACAAAAGAGAGAAAGGAAAATGTTGAAAAAAAACCGGGAACTGTACGATTTTCCAAATTAGAGATATGTTTAAGAATACAGGTTATTGACTAGATTAACTCTAACAACTTGTTCATCACAGAGTATATTTGCTAGGTAAGGTATTATAGAAGTTTTTTACTTTTGCTTGCGTGTATGAATTTTAATGTAATTACGTCTCGTTCTACCAGAAGATATACAAGGAGAAAGATATGAGTGAAGGGGATGGTTAGCATCTGATAAGATAACACCTGCTAAGAGTTTGCATGACTTTAGATGTCTATCCACAACCATATTAATTATGACCTCGAAAGATTCACGACACACCTTACTAGCTTCCTTCAGAACCCTCCACAATACAGTAAAGTCTTTTCTCAAAAGTCCGGTAAAGAATAATGGAGAACAGTAAAGAATAATAGGTAATATGCAGGAGTTGACAAATTGTAAGATTAAATGACAAATATTCCCAAGAGCATGCAGTCACTTTATGTAGTAAGTCAAACGGCAAACTTTCTTTGGTAACAATAAAACATGAAAAGACCAAGACAGATCAGAGGAAATGGTAACACCAAGATATTTGACCTTCGACACTGTGTTTATCAAAGAGTCTCCAATGGCACAAGCATTATAGGATTCCAAAGTGTTGTTTAGATGCCGTTCATGTCTCATGTAAAAGTTAACAGCCTGATATTCATATTCAGTAACGTTTTACAGGAAAACTTATATTAGTACCTTTGTAATATAAAGATAATAAATTAGTGATGAGAAAATTATGACTAAATAGATTGTTTTAATGAACCGAAGATCATGATTAATAGTTTAGACAGTTCTATGATTTAAAGATTATTTGGTTTTTTGTTAGAAGGGGAATATGACTAATAATAACAAAGGAATACTGAAAAGGTGTTCGGAAATAGTTTTTAAATCTCAAAGACATACAAGAATAATTTCCTGAAGTATAAGAACTTATAGAATACCTAATAAATACTTTGGTACTTATGTTCATAGCTATGATTAAGAATACCACATTTGGACTCAATGTTCCCATTTTATTTATAATAAATATTCCCTAAGACTGAATACTTGTATTCAAAAGACACTATTTAATTTTAAATGGATTATTCGACACTCTGAAGATAATTTTAAAATCAACGGCTGAGTAGTATATCCACACTTGTATAAATAGGGAAAGATCTTATCTCTACATTAGGTGTAATAAGATATCAAAGTTTTAACAAGAATTTTTGTATCTGATATAGTAGATGAAAATTTCGAGAAAAGGGAAGTCATCCAAACATTTACTTATTAACAGATAGCAAACAACAAATATCATTTTTACTCTACTTTGCACATGTCATCACCGTCAAGTGTTTTCAAGCTGATCTTTGTGTACAGTAATAAAGTGTGGTAAACCTCTTATTGACTTAGTGAGATGGTAAGAAATTACTTTGAACTTTGTTAACTACATAATATATTTATCGCAAAGTTAAATGTTCTACTGACAATTACTAACGACGTTTGTGTTTAGCGATATAAATCAGGCTTTACAATTACCTTATTGGTTTACGAAAGCACATGTTAATATCAAATTCACAACAGAATGTGAACATAATGATTAATCCTATTACTTAGACCTGAAAACGTAGAAATTATGGAGCAACTGAGACGATAACATTGGGAAAAAAACAGAGACTCAAGTATGTCGAAAGACTACCCCCAGAGATCGAGTTCTCAACTTTGGCAGCAACAACCCAAAAACTCACAAAACCGAATGCTTAGAAACTTTAGTCGATGTGATGAAAACAGGCTGCACCCCACAGTTCGGCAAAATGAAGAAAACCTGATGACTATCCTTGAAAAAACGATTATCCATGCAATTTCATCAAGAAATATTAACCTATTTCATCGGCAGAAATGAAATATACAAACTAACTAACAGATCATACTACCATATATAAAAAAATTGCAACGAGATTACTGAAGCCGTCTGGAATAGGTGTAGCTCACAAAGTAGCAATATCACTACAAATAATCCCATGCAAACCAAAGGGAAAAATGGCAAAAGAAGTAAAACAGAACATCATCTACAGAATAAACAGTTCTGATTAAGAAAAGCACCATAACAAACAAAGTCGACAACCACTTCATTTTCCCTGTACGAACATCAATTAGCGGTCAAACTCCACGTTATTATCTTCGCTTGTATCAATGCATGTGGACAACTTTGGACTCACTTCCAAGTGGGAAAATGCTGAAAGCTTGAACAGAGGGAATGTTAAAAGCACCACTGAATTTTTCGAAGCTTAGCACTGAGGTCAATCAATAAGTACATCAAAATCGATCTAATCTATCAACCAATAGGAAAAATTATGGACAAATATAGGAACAAAACTCAAATCGAAGGGAAACACAATCAAAGTAAAGAGCTAGACAATGACAGGTTAATGATCAACAATAATCGATGAAGATCGAGGTCGACAGGAAAAGCTATGAGTCGTATGATGAGAAATTTGAACATTGCACTTCTACCTGAAATTTGTGCTGATGATGTTGTTGCTCCACTATTTGACCATCCATCTCAGAGGACGAAACCCCATCAAATAAAAGAAATTTGTCATAAAGCACGGTAAAATGATTGTGGAAAGTCTCAGACAAATAACTGTTAATAGAAAATCCGTCTTCACCCGGCTTACATCCACAGATGAAGAGATATCAGGCAGGATCGATCAAAGGATTAAAGTAGCCCTAAACGGAAGCTATCCTGCAGCTAAACTATTCTCTGTGTATAGCACCAGATATATCTTAAATCAATCAAAGTGGATCATTACCCATCTGATGTCACCTTCTAGTGTATTTACGAATTCACATGTATGTGTGGAAGCAAGGAAATATGAAAAGTTAAAAGAAGGACATATTTAGGATTTTCGTAAATAAACTCCGTTTAGTTGTATCTGAAGGGAAGTCAAATATTTACAGGTGCGATTACTAAACATACAATAGTTAATAGACACAATGTAGACGTATCATAAGCCTTTAAAATAATTAAAAGACAATGTTCAATACTTTTAATCTGCTTTGTAGATCTCATTTCCATCATGTGCTTTTGATTTGACCACTATATATACAGTTACATTATTTTAACGCTTGTCAGGTACATTATGTTTTATAATTTAAAGTTAAAACAACCTCACTGACATTCACTAATGACGTTAACTTTAATTTTACATTAAATAGAGGCCTTCATGATTAGTTATTTGTTAACAATATGTTATCATTCGTTATCTCTTTATTATTATTATTATTATTTACAAGCAACATTTTACATTTGTGAGATAAGTAGCTTCTTGGAAAATCTTAAATTGTCATGAAAGATGACACTTTCAATCTAAGGTGAAAGGATACATCAGTAGGGGTTGTATGTAAATTCAACTCATACACTGATGTTGATATTTTGTTTTTTTCTTTTTTCTTTCGTTTTTTTTTTTGGAATAAGAAAACTTATTGAATGATGTGATTGTTAAACTACTTATAAGTTAGGTAATTTGCAAAAATAAGCAATTATTATAGTTTATTTGATAGACTCCTAATGCTACATATATCTATGTTCTTTATGAAAACCAATCTAATTCTACCTTAATGAGGTAGGATATATTGGTTAAAATCATTCAACATTCAAGTGTTCTTTTAGTATAGCACATATTTTTTCATTGATATAAATGATTCATTATTAGATATTACGATAACCATCATCAAAAAGGTAAAAGTATTTATAAACAATTGTCTACGCAAGATACGAAATCACCAAACTGCATCACGAGGCAATCGCCAACTTGAAATCTTGAAGGGAAACGGAAAAAAGGAAGGCTGAAGAATACACTACGTGGGGAACTGGAAGCAGACATGTAAAGAATGAATAGTAACTGGAAAGGATTGTCCAGGACAGGGTTGGGTGGAGACTGCTTATGCTCCCCCAAGAAGAGTAACAGGCGTAAATGAGTAAGTCATCAGCATGTACTATTTGATATTAAAAGACAAAAATGACCTGACTATCTAAATGAAATCGATTATACTACACTGTCAGTTCACCGAATTTAAATGAGTTAATGAATATGTAAAATACGTATAACCACTAAGGTTATTACGAAACATTTTTACGCAAGTATTAAGCTCAATAATGTGGGCTATTTTTAAATATTTAATTCATAATGAGACAGTTGGATATAGGAGATTACTTAATCTAAATGAACTATTTTCAGTGTGTTATAAAAGGAACATAAATACAGATTTTTATGACAAAGTTTTCTGAATTATTTCCGAGGTTTGCTTCCGTGATATTGTCACAAAAGATGGAATTTGATATATGATTAGTTTTTTACCAATCAACTTTAAGGTGATGACTAAACTACTGTAGGAAAAATATCGTTACGCTAAACAGTCAGCGAGTATTAATCATCACCATAATGTCTAATCATTAGTGGTGGCCATATTTTTTTTGGATCAAGTTTATGGTATACTGGCTATCTCAATTCGACTAACATTGAAACAATATTAACTCATTTAATCTTATGACCATTTATCAAACCCTCTTGTTAGATTACTATCAGCACAAAAATATCAGACAACATAATATTGTTTACTGCACACTAATTGCTTGGCAAAGTTACGTTCGAATAAACAATATACTACTGTATTTTAGAGTTATATGAGGTGTCTAAGAAACAGGTATACGAAGCGAAAAACGGCACTAATAAAGAATATAGATAAAGCTCTAATAAGTTGTTGGTTATATTGTATGATAGGTAAGGAATATGTTATACGTGACATTACTAATAATAACAAGAAAAAGAAAAGCAGGGATTTATCTACAGGGGTCGGCGTTAAGTCATTACATGTAAGTTCTTTTTAGTGGCCCTATATATGACTACAATTAATTTGTATGAATGGTTGTTATCAAAATATACATCCTGGCTATCCACGTATATAAATATCGACTTAATCCACGTTAGTGAATAACGGAATTAAGTAAGTCAAATACGAGAATGGATGTTTGTATACGTATATTTCGTACACTCATTGATTTGGACAGACAATGAGAGGGACGAAGCGATGGATGTGAAGATAAGAAAGCGAAGTGAAATGACGAGCAATGGAGAAGGCGTGTGAGATAACTCCATTTAATTAAGCGTGAATCAACATTCATAGTCACACAATAATAAGGTACATACATGTGATGAATAAGATAAGATGTACATAGATATACGCTCATATAAAAACAGTCAAAGTTGATAAGTGAATAATTAACAAGGTCAAAACCTGACTCAAGAAGAATGAATAAGATCAATCTTATGGCCTATTCTGATTTTATGTTTAGTAATCGAGGATGATTGATGTTTATCCTCTGCTCTTATTCGGTCACTCGATTGTATTTGCTTCTGCAACCATTTTGGGACATATTCATACACCTTAATTTTTCAAAATATATTGCGCTAATATATCATCACATAGTTCTGATAATCTTCGTCTTCTTATTACATTATCGAAATTTATCAAAGGGACTAATTGCTTTAACTAGAGAATATAAAATTGTGTATACCTTAGTACATAATACCAAAAACTTACGGTTTGGTTTTAATTGTATCCATTGTTCTGTTTCATTATCAGTATGTTCAATATGACTTTCGTAATTTGTATTCATTTGTATTGGTTTTACAAGATCTGTTATATCATTAAATATTTGACAATTATTATTAGCGGGTGTTGATGATGGACTAGATGGACAACTTGTCATTCGACTACGTGGAAGACTTTTATAAAACCATGCACCAGAACGTTTCCAAATCTTAAAAGAAATATATATTTTCACTTAATAAAATAAGAGTGATAATCCATAATTAAAGTTGATACAATAAACCGTTTTCATAAAAGGTATATTTACTGTTTCTTGTTACGGATTTGTATGATAATATAAGTAAAAATGCTATATGAGCAAACGATAACTATGCACTGTGTTACTGAGGTGATCAGTTTATTAGATGAATTTATGATTATGTAATGTTATTAGTATTTACTATAGAATTCTCAATATGGTTTAACTCTCACTAGAATGTTGGAAATTTATATTAGGGTTAGTTATAGAGGAGCAGTCGTTTATTATTTTCGTAGGTGAGTTATAGAGACTAACTCACTCTAAAGATAGTTTTTGTTATGAATTGAAACAATCAGGTTTTACTGGACTAGATAATCGGTGAGAAGTACCACACTTTTTGACTTGGAATTTCTGAATCTGATTCAGTATAGAGTCGTTAATAAATACTGTCTAAGATTCTCAAACTTATTTTGAATGATTTTAAAAAGTTTATCAGTTATTGCCAGTTAGGGATGGAAACTAACTTCAAATCGAATGAATCGCCACAAATCTCTAATACAAAATAGACATATCGTTGAAAAAATGGTCTATTGTCTGTGAAAAACATTTTTGTAGGACCTAAATCAATCTGAAAGACACTACTTAGTTTTAAACTACAGTTTTTCTAGGTTATATAGACTCATTATACAATACAGACTATATTAAAGTCCTTCTTTTAATAGTCATTCACTGATTTATCTTCATAGTTTTCCTACAATAAATCGAATCGTTTCACTATTATGTCTACAATTGGTCTGATGAAAATGTTCGATTTTCCAAGGTCTACCAATTGATTGAATGGTTTCTCAATAGTTAAGGTTATAATCTTGTTTAATTGTATAAGAAATGTGTAATATTATAATTAATTTTCACTGCTCGGCGTATAGACAGTGACTTCGGAAATACGGTACAGCAAATATTTCTCTCATTTCAATGGGGGTTTTTGTAAAATTTCAAACATTTAAAAATCCATATGTTAGATGCAATATTGTTATATGAAAATATTCAACAACCAATGTATATGTTTTTGATAGAGATCATGAATCGATTGATGTTAGACCACCACTGAAAACCCGGAAGCACTGGACGGCCGTTTCGGCCTATTGTAGGACTCCCCTACGATGCCCATCCACGATCCCGCACGCGGGGTTCGAACTCAGGGTCTTCAGTCTTGTGTGCGAACGCTTAACCTCTATACATCGAGTCGGTCAAGCCCTCGCGCACGAGACTGAAGACCCTGAGTTCGAACCCCGCGTGCGGGATCGTGGATGGGCATCGTAGGGGAGTCCTACAATAGGCCGAAACGGCCGTCCAGTGCTTCCGGGCTTTCAGTGGTGGTCTAACATCAATCGATTCATGCTCTCTATTAAAAACTAATAATAATCTCCACAAGCCTATACTGATAATTGATGTATAAACATTTAAACGAGTAATAAATTAAATTTACTTCTCTTGCTTCATAACATATTTTACAAACAAATGAATGATTATCTCCTTGACGTGAATTTGCTTTAACTTTAACCTTTTCAAATAATTGTTGACTATGCAATGCAGCTGAGTTCAATGTACCCATTAAACTACTTCGACGATTTAAAAATCGTGGTTTATTTGTATCAGTTGTTAATCTTTTTAAACTATTTGAATTATTTAAAGTTGTATTTCCATTTTGTCGAGTTTGATCCATTGTAAAATATGTTTGATGTTTTGATGTATTTATTAAACTTCCACTTCCATATGTATTTGACATCCATTGAAAATTAAGCAGTGAATTACGCTTTGTGATTGGCTGTCGATATAATGGTGGAATAACTAACTCTACACAACATGTTGTACATACATAACGACCACATTCTACACAAACTATTGGTAAATTACTTAAATGACCAAATTCTTTATGACATAATGCACATTCTTCGTTTTTTCTAGAATCAGCTGTTTGTTTTAGACGATCAAGCTTCTGGAGCATTGCTCTGAAAACAGAAAACATGATAAGATGAATATGAAATGATCCTTGAGAGAGTTTATCAGAAAATAAAACAGATGAAAATTAGAATTTCTCCTACGTCTGCAGATGGGAATATTGTTGGACACACATAGGTGGACTAATCCTACCAATCAAACTTGTAGTGTGGCGACAGAGATTAATGAATGAATATTGCTGTGCATTCTATTTCTTATTAGATGGTTGTTAATGTAGGTCACTTCTTCGAATTAAATTGATTTAAATTGGAGGGATGCAAAAGAATTCTGGGTATGTAAAGTGTGACGTTATCCATTCCTATTCAGTGTTTAAAAAGTTCGTGACATTTAGCATTTTCGTAGACTTTTCCGTTCATTTAACGAGTGGGTATTTCACTTAAGAGTGTAAACTGCACTAAAGATTTCGTTTCAAGCATTTAAAGTTATGTAAATCTATCTGCTACAAATACGTCATTGAATTATATCTTGACGTCCCAGATGAAAACACAAATATTTTAGAAGTTCGAGCTAGAAATGAACTCTCCACTGAAAATTACATTCATTGGTTGCACTAACCCGCTAAATAAATGGAAACATTCCAAAAAATGCTTGGAATTTAATACATATTGAACGTCGAAACTGGTGGATGTCCTTATACTAGCTGAAATGTCATGACAATTCAGTCAAGATAATTATGTATGAGACATACTTGTGTTCATTTATTTGTATGCTAGTAAATATGAAAAATGTTAAATTCTTAGCGTAAAAGAGTAGAATTGGATTGTGCATGTTAACTGTGTGAACATTTTGATATTTAAATATTGTTATTTAAATAAATGGACGAGGATGGATGGATAATCAAGCCTTCTATTTTATTGAGTTCAATGAAGTTAAGAAATATATGAAAAGCTTAGGCCAATCGCCTTATTTATGGTTGAAATACCCATTAGATTTATTTTATTGATTAATATAGATCTGATCATTGTTAAAAATAGCATGCAATTCTGTTTTGGATTCGATTTGTAAGTTGTCAAGTTCTACAGGACTATTAGATCTTTTAGCATAGTTTACTAAAAGTAAACAATCCATTCAATACTCAGTTTATTTGAAGATATCACAACAAATCCTGGTACTGATACTTAACAAGTGTTTTTGTATTATTACATGTCATGTAAATTAACATAAAAATACTTACTCAACTCTAGCTTTTTCATTTTCAGCTAATAATTCATTTCGTCGGAGAACACGTAGGATTTGTTCTTCTTCATCTGTTGTTAATGGTTGAGCTCGACGGCGTTGTGCTGATTGAGCTCTAGAAGACCAACCTGTTCCAAGTCTATGAGATTTATAGAAATATATATTATTGACATAGTTATTTTAATTATCATATGTATAGTTGAAAGATTGTGTTCAAAATAAGATAACTGTCATTATAAGAAATATTAACAACTCAAAGCTATTAAATAACTGTCTCATTATCACTTTTGAATTACACATCCTTTCGTACTCATGAAAATATAAAATTTATGGTTTATTATGAAGCTGTTATAATTTAGTTACTATGCTAGAATTTTAAAATATCAATTATATGATCAATAAAATAGTTGAATAAAGTTTGAGTTTTTAATAAGGACTTGAGTAGTATTGCTTTGATTAGTTCAAGTTAATTAGACGATATTAAGATTATGAACCGATTGATATTAGACCACTACTGAAAACTTGGAAGTACTGGATGGCCGTTTCGTTCTATTTTGGGACTCGTCAGCAATGGGCATCCACGACCCCGCTCATGGGATCCAAACTCAGAGCTTTCAGTCTCGTGTGCAAACTCTTAACTTGTAAACCACTGAGCCAGCATCTAACAGTGTTATTGGAAGATGGTTGCGCGGTTTTGCGGATTGGTTGAGGTTAGACATTAACATCATCGGATGCTGGCCGGCTCAGTGATCTAGAGGATAATCGTTCGCACACGAGACTGAAGATCCTGGGTTTGAATCCCGCGAACGGGACCACGGATGTGCACTGCTGAGGAGTCCCACAAGAGGATGAAACGGCCGTCCAGTACCTCCAGGTTTTTAATGGTGATCTAACATCAATCGATTCATGATCTCAATAAAAAATTTATAATAAATCTCCACAACCCTATCCTGGTAATTAGACAATATGAGTAACTATAAGATAGTCAAAAACCTAGTCACTGTAATCAAAATAAACCAATACTTAGACTACAAACTTTTAAAGAATAAAAAATTTTTAATTCGATTGTTTTTTGTTTCAGCTTTAGGGTATTTTTTTAATCATTCAGAACTTAAAATGAACAGTTTGATTAATTAGATATGAAAATTATATTGGAAATAATCTCCACAATTAAGATTTCAATAATTCTAACATTTCGTCCTGCAAACTTGTTTGAACTTCTTAAGTATAATTAAATCTTGAATGGATATTAGATCATAAATGTTGAAATTAAGAACCAAGAGCAATACAACGAATCTATCATTTAGAATAACAAATAATAACAATAGAATTGTCATATATATACCACTGGTTGATTTCATGAGTCAATTGAAGCTAGGTCACCATGGAAAACCTGGAAGCACTGAACGGCCGTTTCGTCCTATTATGGGACACCTCAGAAGTGTTTATTCACGATCCCGCCATCAACGAGATTCGAACCCAGGACCTATCAGTCTCGCACGTGAGCGCCTAACATATATATATATATATATATATTTGCATGTAAGTGAACTGAGGAACCCATTGTAGAAATAAAAGTAACGATATAAAGGTGAAAATGTCAGTAAATAGGTAGAAATAATATTGGAACCTAAAAAACTCTATTTTGCAATTGTTTTACCTGTAAGAATTCGAGAATATTTGATAAATAAATTTTATGATAGTCGTAAAAGCCCAAGTAGAAAATATTCTCAATTTTGATTTTCTGTAAATATAAAACTTAGGTTAAACAGAGTTTCTAACCACCACCTTATAGCTTAATATAAGGCCTGCGATGTTGACTCACCTAGATTAGTAGTTACTTGATCGATGGAGCTCGATCCACATCAAGAAAGATCTGATATACATGATATTGGTCACGAACCAGTGATCAGTCAATCGTAAATGAATTAGTTTAAGTTATTCTTCATAAAATAATATGGTTTTCATTAACTACGATAGATGAATTCTTAAATTTAATTAATCTAAGTATTCTTTTCATGATAAATGATATTATCAAAGTTTATATATCGCTTCTATTTTCTAGCTATTGAATTTATGGACTGATGGAGATTTTCAATTTAAATGAATATTTCTTGTGTTGCTGAATCCTCTGAGCTAAATGGAATGATTGCTAGGCTTGTAGTGTCAGTTAACATGTTAAGCTCATATACCTTATTCTGGCTATCGAACAGGCTAATCTATTCATTCTACTTGAGTCATATTTTGACTTGGTTAATTATTCGCTTATCAATCTTGACTGTTTTTATATGAGCGCATTTGTGTATACATTTCTTATTCTATTCATCACATGTCTGTAACTTATTTTTGTGTGCCTATAAATATTAATTAACGCTCGACTAAATGGAGTTGGCTTACACGCCATCTTCACTGCTCGTCGTTTCACTTCGCTCTATTCCATTCGCTTCATATACAAAATATATGTATTCGAAAATCCATTCTTGCTCTTTGGCTTATTTAATTCCGTTATTGACTAATGCGATTTAAGTCGATGATTATATACGAGGATAGGTGACATATATTATTTCAATAACAATCATTCATACGATCAAATTAAAGTCAGATCCCGGGCCACTAATGTGGAGATCCCGTCAACAAACATCGTCCGATCTAAATGACGACAAAATAAAGGGCCCCATTAAAGGCTTACATCGTTGTTCATGTAAAAGTAAAGTGAGAAAAAATTGAAGATAAACTTCCGATTATCTTAAATCATGAATAGATGACATTTTAAATGGTACAATTATTAAGGTATCATAACAATCGGTAAAAAAGCAGCATAGCTGGTTGAACTGTATCCGTAGGTATGTGTTGGAGTGATCCAGAAAACGTCTCGCAAAAGACAAGAAAGGATCAGGAAACACTAAGAAGCATTTTATCCGATCAGCGTTCACTAGAAGTTTAGCCAGAAACATCAAGAAAGTGGAAAGTCACATGTACAGTTTCTAATTGGCTGATTACTATACTGCTACTATGTTTAGTAGCATTCCAGAATCTTCGGGGAACCCAAGGACATCTGAAACACTATAAAACCCTATATTTTCTGTACTAAAACGAACCGTTGGAGTAAAGTGCTTCTTACATATTTTGCGTCTTTTCTCTCGTGTTCAGGTCGCTGTGTAGTTCTATCTTGAAGGTTACGAGAATGGCTTAGGAACCGAATCCAGCGTTCAATTAGCAAGACTTATCAGTATGTATTTAGTATTACAAAATATGAATTGGCTGATTCTGCATGAAGTAACTAACTTAAACTTACAGTTTTCATTTAAACATAAAAAAACAAAACATGAAATTCAGTAATGTGATCATTCATCAACGAAGTTACTATCTAGTCATGCTATCGTATAAACATCTAGAAATTTCAAGTATTGACACCAGAAGAACCGACGAACAATGAATAAAAATAGAGACGTAGTAGTAAGACTTTAATGTTAGATTATATATTATAAATGATAACGATAAAACTTTAGTATGTCCACAAATAAAAAGAGCTTGTCAAGTTATTCGACTAATAATAGACTATTACGTGAGTGATGATAATTGAATTTTTTTGTTAAAATGATCAACGATAACAAAAGAATTAAATTAGATGAAGTAATTTCATAAATATCTATGAGAATAAGATCATCGGGATATGGAAAATAAGTTGAGAAAGGTACACTTTCAAATATAAAATCAATGAAATAAAATTACATTCAAACTATAATACAAGTAGAAATGGTCATAATAACATTTTTTAAGGCTACTGTAAAGACAACAATAAGACGTGCTTCTTTTGTACATACAGGTTAGGCTACATTTCGTGAATGATAAGAGCTTTTGTTGTTTTAATTTGTTGAATACGAAAAACTCTTCGTAGATTTGAAGGAATTCTATAAATAACATTAACATAAACATATGAACCAGCGGACTAACTGGAATCGATTAAATGTATAGAGATAGAACTGAACTCCTTTCTCTCAATTTTGTAGAACAACATTAGAATATTTTTTTGTAACCAAGCTGAAAGAAAGCACTGGCTACGGCCTATGTACTTTATTTTACAAGAGCATACGAACTGTAAGATTCACATAGAGTCAATCAGACGAAGGAACTTGATCTTTACAGGTACAAACAAAATTTATACTAGATTATGTTAATTACATCACCAACACATAGAACCTTCTTTTGAGTTCTATCAACAATCAATTTCAATGTACATCAAATTTTTGGTCACCTCTAACTTCGAAATCCGTACAAACATTTTTCTTTGAAACTGAATTTCCGGATTTTCTGTTCCAACTTTCTTTCATATTCTTCTCTACGAATAGGCTTGGATAGCCGTTTGCTGTCAATGATTTTCTCAAGAAATGAAGTTCCTCCTCAAAGCATTCTATGCAACAGATCCTACATACTTGATAACGTAATTTGTATACGATTCCTTTTTCTGCTTAACATAACCCATCTAATGAATTTGGTTAGTTAGCTGTCCCATGTTTGTTTTGTGTAAATAAACCTTTTAAGGAATGTATCAATTACCATTGTCAGAAGCACCTCGAAAAATCACATTTCAAGACATTTTATTTTCTAATGTGAAACCTAGACATAAATAACAGGTATCGAAAGAGTACAAACTGTCAAATAAATTGTTGTTCTCATCGTAAACGACGAAATTGTCGTCCATACATCTTAAATCGATTAATGACTGAATTAGGTAGGTCGTGAAGACGTTTTCTAGGATTGGACTCGACAGAGATCTTATCAAGATTACATCTTTTGTTGAAACTGAACTAAACATTAAAAGTATAACATAACGGTCCTCATTTCAGGTGGTTAGTCAGTGAGCCAACATCTATATTGTTGGAATCAATATAAATTCGTTGGAAAGAGATCACACTGAATTTCATGTTTTCAAGTTCAAATTAAAGAAACTGACACACCAGTTAAAAGTAACATCACCGATTAATCGAGTTAGATAGATTTTCTACTATTTGTTTCATTGAGAGAAACTAAACCATCATATTTCTCCATTTCATTTATTTTAATATGAGATCATTGACAAAACCAGATATTCAGACTTAAAACATTTCTACTCCTTCAATCTAACCAATTAGAATGAGT